TTGAACTTGCTGTAATAAGGCAATTTACTTTTAGGTTTGTTAAGAAGTTTAATAATTCAATAAAACATTTTAAGTATGAATCAAACTTATTTTTAGGCAGTTAGGAAAATTTTTAAAACAGGGAGTGAACTAATTGGGTAGGAATCAAATTTGTTACCTTCTAAATTTTGAAAGATATAAAAATTACTTTTTTTAAAGTTCTCATCTTCAAAGAATGTCTGTTCTTGTCCACAATTTAAGTGATGAATCACATATCCACCATTTGTATTGCAAAGGTGCTCCAGAAAAAATAGCTTCTTTGTGCCTTCCAGAAACGTTGCCTTATGGATATCAATCTTTTGTTGATAATTATGCTCAACAGTTTTGTTTTTCTTTTTAATTTATTTATCAAGTCGAAACCTCGTTTTTAGATGTCCCCGGAAATTCTTAATTTTTTTTAAAGTTTTGTTTGGTCTGTGGGTGTTGGTTACCTTCATAGATCGTTTTTTAAGATTATTTTTTAAGCTACACCCTTATTTATTTACTCTCTAAATTATAAGTTTTTCAGCCCTTAAAAGCATATCTAAAAATGATTTTTAATTTTTTAATTAATTATTTTTAAAGTGGTTATCGTTTAATTGCCGTTGCTTCTCGTCGCCTTAATTTAAATTACGTTAAAGCACACAAAGCTAAACGTGAACATTTGGAATGCGATTTGGTTATGTTGGGATTAATTGTTATGGAGAATAGATTGAAGCCGCAAACTATTGGAGTTATTAATCAATTAAATAGGTTGGTGTTTTTATAAAAAGAAAAAATTTTTTTTTATTTTAGAGCAAATATTCGAACAATAATGATTACTGGAGATAATATACTTACTGGTAATTTAATTTTTTTTTAAAATAATTGAAAAAAATTCTCAAAAAATTTTTTCAAAGCAATGTCTGTAGCACGTGAATGTGGCATTATACGCCCAAATAAAAGATCTTTTTTGTTGGAAGCTGGGGATACAAAATGTAGAGATGGAAGAACACATTTAGTATTAAAACAATCTGTTAGTTCTTCTGATGAAGTTGTGAGTTGAAAATATTTTTTAATTTGAAAAAAAAATTTTTTTTAACAGTTGGAACTTGAAGAGGACACGTTCTCTTGTTGTTATGAACAAAATCAGCAACCAGCAAAAAGTGCAGAATCTTCATATCATTTGGCAATTTCTGGTCCAACTCTAAGTTTGTCTTCTTATTTAATTTTTTAGAAATTCTTTTGTGGATAAATTTCCAAAAAAAATTTTTCAAAAATTTTTCTAAAAATTTTTTATTTTTAGGTGTTTTATGTGAAGAATATCCAGAGATATTAGAACAATTAATTTGTGTTTGTGATGTTTATGCAAGAATGTCACCTGATCAAAAACAATTGGTTTTTAAATTATTTTTAAGACAAATTATTTTTTTTTAATTAAAAGTTGGTTAATCAACTTCAAGATGTTGGATATACAGTGGCAATGTGTGGAGATGGAGCTAATGATTGTGCTGCTTTAAAAGTAAATTTTTTATATATTTTTTATAAGAGGATTCTTTTCTATTTTTAAAATATTTTCCTCGGAAATAGAGAGAGGAGAATCCTTAAGGAAGTTATGGAAGAGAGAAAGTCCGCAAAATTTTTTTTAGTATTTCCACACATTAACTTCAATAAAAATTTTTATGAAATTTTTTAGGCCGCTCATGCAGGAATTTCATTATCGGAAGCAGAAGCTTCAATTGCTGCTCCTTTTACTTCTAAAACGCCAGATATTCGTTGTGTTCCAACTGTAATTCGTGAAGGAAGAGCAGCTTTGGTTACTTCATTTGGAGTTTTTAAATATATGGCTGGATATTCCTTGACACAATTTGTTACAATAATGCAGCTTTATTGGTTAAATACTAATTTGACTGATTTACAGGTTTTTTTTTCACATTAATAAATTCATTATAAGATACCTCCTAATACTAGCCTCACCTATGATTAACTTACATTTTTTTTAAAAATGTTAGTTGACCAGTAAGTGGGGAGCTCCCAAGTAATGCTCTCCATTTAGATAAGTTTTTTTTCTTGCATAATACCAAAACTTATGTATACTAAACCCCCAAAAGACGTCAAAATGCCAAACTATAGTGGCTTTTGGGGTTTTGGATTTTTCAGGGGGTTGGGATTTTTTAGATTTTTTAATGAGTTTTGACCGTTATTTAGATTAAAAAAATTAAATTTTCTTTCAAGTTTCTTTATATCGACTTGGCACTTGTAACACTTGTTTCTCTCTTTTTTGGCTACACTCCAGCTTGTGAACGTTTAGCAAAAATACCTCCACCAACTCGACTATTATCTTTAGCTTCTATATTTTCTGTTATTGGGCAGTTAACAATTATATCTTTCTTTCAAGTAAAAAAATTTTTTCGAAAAATTTGAAAAAAACGTTTTTTAAAGGTTTTTACTTTTATTTATACAAGTATGCAACCATGGTTTGTTTTAAATTTTTTAATTCTAATTTCTAAAATATAAATAAAATTTACATTAAAATAGTCGTCGTTTAATTTACATTTTTAAAAATTTATTTAAAAAATTTGCGGATTTAAAAATTTTTAATAAAAAATTTAAAGGTTTATCCCTTATGCAACCCCAGCTGGACCAGAACCAGATGATAGACGTTCAATGCAAGGAACAGCTGTATTTTGTGTCTCAATGTTTCAATATATTACTTTAGCAATTATTTATAGTAAAGGATTTCCTTATAGAAGAGCTATTTTTAGGTTTGTTTTTCGTTAAATTAAAAATTTTTGGAAATTAAAAAAAAATTTCAAAAAAATTTTTTTAAATTTTTGTCCGCAAGAATTTTGCGGACAAAAATTTTTTTCAAAATTTTTCTTAAAAATCTCAATTTTCTTATTTTTAAAGTAACAAACCTTTGTGCCTTTCTCTGTTTGCTGTTGGAATATGTTCTTTAATTATTTGTATAGAACCACCTCAAATTATTATTGAATGGCTAGAATTTGGTTTTTTTTTTAATTTTTTAAAATAATTTTTTTATTTTTTAATTTCTTTTTTAGACCCAATTCCATATATTGAAGATCGTTTATTTATTCTAACTTTGGCCTTGTTAAGTTCTGTGCTTTCTTATTTGTATGAAAAATTTGTTATTGATATGTTGATATTAAATATTCACGAAAGGTTTGTTTTTTTTATTTAAAGGGGAAAATTTTGAGGAGAGGGCATTTGCGGATACCTAATAAATTCAGGATTGAATAATTCAGGGATAAATTCAGGAATTTGAAGTCGGATCTTCAAATTTTTCTTTGGGTCGGGGTTCGAGTTGAAAAAGGTCGTGGGTTGAGTATTCGGTAATCCAACCCATCCCTGATACATTTTGTGGAGAAAATGTTTTATTGGTAGTAGAGGTTAGAAATCCTATCCCCCCGACATTTTTGTAATTTTCTATTTTCAATACTTTCCAATATTTTTTTCGCGTTTCAAAACTTTTTTGTTAATCTCCGCAAATGTTTTCCTTTGCCAAACCTCACTTTATATACCACAGAAAATTCCCTACTTTTTCTAGACATAAAAAACAAAAACAATTGTTGTCTGGTTCATCATCTTCCCATCGTTTTGAACGTATACTTTTATCTATTGGAAACGAACCAAATTGGTTACGTATATTAACTGGTGGGTCAACATCAATGTCTGCATTAAATTCTTCTTTTAATGGACAACAAACAAATTCTTATAGAAATTCTTTTCCAATAAATAAACAACAAAATGGAGGTAATGAGGAAGAGGAAGAAGGAATTTTTGTTGGTAATAGACGTAGAAAACATTCATCTACACAAAATAATAATTCTACAACAACTTGTAATGACTCGCCACCAAAGAAAATTACCGTTAGTTTTAAGTTGTTTTTTAAAATTATTTTCAGAAAATTATTTTTTGAAAATAATTTTTTGCGGACAAAAATTTGTCCGCATAATTTTGCGGACAAAATTTTGCGGATTTTTTTAAAATTTAAATTTTTCTCAAAATTTCCTTCAAATTTTTGAAAAAATTACTTGTTCGAAAAATCTGCAAATTTTGTCCGCAAAAATCCAAAATTTTTTTTCTTTAGATTGTTGTTAATGAACATTGTGCCGATGATGATAACTCCAAAAAATCAATTGTTCTAAATTTAAATGACAATCCTTAAATTTTGAGGTTTTTTTCTTCATTTTGTTTTTTTCACATTTTTATCCGTCCTTATGCCCAAAATGACATTGCAATTTTTTCTAAAAAAATTTTTTCTTTTGAATTTTTTTTCAATTTTCTTTAAAGAATTTATTTTTGTCTCTTCAAATAATGCTTTATTTAAAAAAAATTTTTTCCAATTTTTGCGGAGTCCGCAAAATTTTCATAAATTTATTTTTTTCTCCTCCATTTTTCCCCTACGTTAAAAATTCCTTTTTCACATTATAGATATTTTGAATTATTTTTAAATTGTTTCTTTTATTAAAAATATCAAAATTACCCGAATATTATTTTTATCATTTTTTGCAAAAATTTTTAATTTACCAAAAAAATCAATAAAATTTTTTTCTATTTTTTCTTCTTCTCTTTAACACCCAAATCAATTCCTTTAATAAATTTCTTCGTAATTCCCATATCGACAAGCAGTCTGGTAACTTCGTTTACCTTTAAAATTTAATTTTTTAAAAAGAAGAGATTTTTGGAAGGGAATTGTTTCTGTGGCGGACTTTTTCCTCCTCTCTTCTCTTTTTGACCCGCCACAGGGAACAATAAACGAGGTTTCTAAACGGTCTCGTGCTACCCTACTCGACACCATGGAATGAGTTGAGCTACCAGATACTTTGAAATTATCAGAAACCTAACCTAAATTTTTCCAACTTGAAAATAATTTTAGGAAAGTAAGCCTAAGACTCATTCAACAATAAAGTTTTTTTTTAAATACCGACCTATTTTTGCAAAAATTTAAGGTAAAAGTGACGTCTCTCCGTCTCTCCCCTTTAAAACTTTCTAAAAATAAAAAAATTAAAAACCTCATTTCCTTGAATTAACAATTGAGGTCCTTCACAGCCTAAAACATTTGGAAATATCGACGTTCCAGTTCCTTTAATTTCTTTTGCAATATCTTTTGCTTCAATACCAAAGGCAGCGAGGTTATTAACTAGCGTTACAATTTTATTTCCGCTACGTTTTTCTATCTTAAAAAAAATTTTTTTAATTGAAAGAGTAAAAAACGTCGGTATAGGAACTCCCTTGGGGCTAAAAATTCTCTTATAATGAGGTGTTCTTTAAATGGAGGGTGCCTTAAAATAAGGTGTCTCTTGAATAGAAGATATTGTCTAGACAGCTTCAATTGAGTTGAGTGTCTAATATGAGTTGTCTCTTATAACGAGGTTTTACTCTCTATTTAATGGACATCTCATTATAAGGTATGATTTTTCTCCCCAAGGGGGTATCTTATAATGAGGTTTTTAAATTTAAAATTTAATATTTAAAAAAATTAACCTTAAATTCAATATTAGGCACTTTTCCTCTATAAATTAATTCTCTTCCTCCCGCTGTTTTTACAAGTACAGCCTTTGTCATAGCTTCACATAGTTTTTGTATAAGTATTTTTACTGGAAATGTTTCAGGCAAAAAATATTTTACGACCATTTGGAGTGTATCATCGTCCAAAGTGATGTCCTTTCCATCATTTAAAATTAAATTCTAAAATTAGTTTTAAATTTTTGCGGACTAAATTTGCGGACTTTTTTCTATTTTTGCGGATTTTTTACATTAATTCTCTTAATTATTTACCTAAGGAAAACTCAAAGGAAGAAAATTTGTATAAAAACTACACAAAAATAGAAGTAAAAGGCTAGAGTCCCAGTAGAAATCCAAAAAACCCCAAAAATGACCAACCCGGGGAGGCATTTTGATCCACCAACTAAAAAATATTTAATTAATCACAAACCTTTTCTTTTGCATATTCTAAAAGAATTGAACGAATTTCTTGAATATTAACCAAATCACCCCTTCGATGCCCTCTACTTCTAAAAATAGGCATAACTTGCTCTGTTAATGAAAACATTTGTTCATAAATATTTATTGATGTTTGTGAAGGTAAATGTTTTAAATCAGAATTTGAGAAATCCTCATCAAAAGGTAAAGCATTTTGAACATATGGGTGATCAAAATTTATCTTTAAAAAATTGAAAAAAATTTTTTGGATTAAAAAAAATTTTATAGGAAGAAAAAGAACGAAAATCTTAAACTACGAAGGTTTTTCCACCAAAAGGCATCGAACCACTACCCCTAATAACGAAAAGTCAAGGACCCTAACCACTACACCACATCAACAACATATCAGATTTAATAAAATTTAAATTACATTTTCAATAAAATTAATACTTTTGATTGTTTTAACTTTAACTACCCATCCATTTTCATTATTGTTAATTTCTTCTAAAAATGTTGTAAATTTTTTATAACTAAATTAAAAAAAAATTAATTTTTAAAATAAAAATAGAAAAAAACCTCGTCTTTTTAATTTCCAATTTTTTCCCAACCGGTATATTTTTAATTATATAATTTGCATAAAATTGGCCAGCATCGAATGGAAATTTACTTGCCGGTGTTAACTGATATTTTATTGCAGAAAAGAAAATATTGAAAAGCTTGAAAAAATAATAAAATTAAATAAATTAATTATAAAATTATTTTAAAAATTAGAAAATTATTTAAAAAAATGTTTTTTAAAAAAACCGCAAAAATCATGAGGATTTCTGCAAATCTAAAAATTTTTTCTTATTTTTTTTCCGTTGTTACATAACAGTAAATGAAATGACGAGTATTAGAAAAAATCATTAGACCTTTTCATTAAACTGGTAACAAAAAAATGTTGATTTTTTTGAAATTTTTTAAATTTGCGGAAATCAGCAATTTTTTGCTGACTTTTTTTTTGAAATTTCGGACAGTAATTCCAGCCACATTCAGCCTATACACACAGACAACATTCCCAAAACCAATAGAATTTATTTTTAAAAAATTTAAACAAACCAAATTATCCATTTCTTCACTAGTTAAAGAAGTTTCTTCAATTTTTAGCAATTCTTCTGCTTCATTCGTTAGTTTTGAGGATATATTTTCCGCGTTTAAATTTATTAATTGCTCATCGTCTTTAAGTATAGATTTTCCCATAAAATTCCAAAGTGACATATACTTAAAAAAATTTATTTATTTTGAAGGTTATAGACAAAAAATTTTACTTGTTCGACCGTCCCCTTTCCCAATCTTCCCCTATTTCGGGGTGGGGGAATCCCTGGATACTCACATATTGGACAGTCAAATCTCACTTATACGACACCCACACTCAGGCCCGTAGCCAGAGGGGGGGGGGGGGTGAGGGGGGGAATTCCCCCCCCCCCCCCCCCCCCCGAAATGGGAAAAAGGAAAAAATTTGGGGGAGGGCTGGGGCAAAAAAAGTGAATTTTTTGGCCTACGGCCTCTGAAATTTAAAAAATTTTCGCCTGCGGCGCTAAAAAAGGAAGAAATCTGGCTTCTTGAGGTCCAAAATTCTCAAAATTTTCGCCTGCGGCGCTGAAAATAAAAATTTTTGGCGCCTTCGGCGCCAAAAATTTGGCGCAAAGAAATTTTTCCCCCTTTCCCCCCCCCCCCCGAAAAAAAATCCTGGCTACGGGCCTGCCCACACTTACTTGTCACTCACAAACATAGATGACAAATGTTCTAACCAAAAAAAAATAACTCCAAAGTTGGTGTTTCAACCCATACAGCGAACAACGACACTTAAACCATTAACGTTAATTTTTTTCATGAGTTGTCGTACAAGTGAGAGTTGATAGTTTTAGATAAAAAGAAATTTAGACAAGTTTGAACTTTACCCTCCTCTTCCTTTTTTCTCTAATTCCCCGTTATATTGTTTTTAACAATCAAATTTTATTAAAAATAAATAACCAAATTATCAGTTTCATCATTTTGAGAAGCTTGTGGATTTAAAGCAGCATGTACACAATCTGACATAAATTGAGGAAATGAACGTCTTGAACCAGATTCCCTTTGAAAAATTATTATTTTTTAAACTACAAAATGGCCCTTTTTCTTCATGCTCAAAAGTCCGCAAGTTTTGTCCGCAAAAATAATTAACTTCTCCTATCAAAAAGGGGTTGTTTTTGAAAAATATATAATAGACCTTCAGACTTTTGTGAGACTTGAAATGAAAAATACCAAAATATTTAAAAAAATATACCAAAGAAAATCACCAAAAATGTGTAAAATTTCAACACCTAATAAATGAAAACTTTTAAAGAAGATAAAAAAGATAAGTTGAAATTGGAATAACATCAAAAAATAATTTTTAAAAAAATTATATAACACTAATGTTTTTGTTTTTAGAATTCAAAAAAAATTCTTAAAAAATTTTAAAAATTTCTAAATTAAAAAAAATAAAAAAAAACCTTTTCCTTTTTGTCCCGTTTCAATTTTTTCTTTCAACTCATCAGAAGAAAACAAAATTTTTCCAACAGCTAAAGGCCCACAAATAGTATATCCATTCCCTTCTTTATTTTTACAAATTGTAGAAATTCCAACAGGACAATTTTGTTCAAATTTCGGAAATTGATTAATTAATTCAATTCCGGGGATCATTAAATCAGCACCTTTTTTTAAAAATCCAAAAGTTGAATGTTGAATAAATAAAATTGGAAATATTGTTGGAAAAGACCACAGAAAATAAACTTGAAAAAATTTAAAAAATTAATTTAGACGAAAAAGTCCGCAAGTTTAATCAGCAAGTCTAAATCAACTAAAAATTCTCAACAACTTTAAACAAAAAATAAAATTGTTGGGAAATTTTTTAACAAAAAAAGTTCTAGTTATGGATCCACAATATTCTAATTATTTTTCAAAATTATTTTGGAAACTTGATATTATACGAGAATTGAAGGTTAAAGTATCATTAAATCGAGAGCCTAAAAAGCCTTTTTTTCGGGAGCCTTTTTTCTCTCGCAAAAAATTTTTTAAATCAAACCTGAAGGAAAAAAATTTCCTTTATCAGCACCATCTTGAAAAATCATTGGCTCTTTTTCCAATAAATAAATTACAGCATTAGATCCATAAGTAAATTGAACTTTTAATTTTACAAGTTGTTGTTTATTGAAACAATTGGAAATAAATTCGGGGAATAATAATTTACTTAAATTAAAAAATTATTTAAGAAAAATAAAAAATAGAAACCTTTCAGAATATTTAAGTTTTGAACTATTTTTAATTTGAAAACGATGCTTTGTAAACATTTGTTCTTAAAAAATTTTTTTAGTAGAAAATCTGAAAAAATTTTGAAAAAAAATTATTAAATAGGAGTGGAAAATTAATTAGTAATAGATACCCACTGTTTTTTGTTATCCAAAAAAATTATTTGTAGGTGAATTCCAGGGCTGTCCGCAATTGCGTGGTTTTTTGGACTTGCGGACTGCGGAATAAATTTTTTTCATTTGCGGACAGTCCTGCCAAGGATATCATGGATCGAAAAATTATGAAGCTACAGATTTTAGGTTCGATTAACCTACATTTATGTCTCTCCCCCAGTATTAAATTGGAAAATTTTTAAAAATAATATCGAATCGAGTAGCTTTACACAACTCTTTAATTTAAAAAATAAAAAAAATAAATTTATACTTTTATTATCACCAAGACTAAGGATAGTTCAAAAAACCTTTTAAACCCGATTTTAGATTTTTGAATATTTTTCAAAAAATTTTTCATTGGGAAAATTAAAATAAAATAATCGATTTTTTCTCTTAATTTTTTTTGGTAAAAATTGGTTTGGATTTTAAAAGAAACTAAACAAAAAATTTTTTTGGTTTCAAAAAAAATCTCTTGAACTACCCTAACGAATGAAAATATTGAAATAAAAAATATAAAAAAAAATTTTTAAAAATTTAATCATTTTTCTGCCCAGGAAAACTGATAGAATTATTTGAAGATGAATGTGAAGAAAATAGGCGACGACGAGGCTTTTTAGTAGCTATTGATAATTGTTTAAGATTATTTGTAAAACTAATTTCTGAAGGTGTTAAATGACGCTTTCTTGAAAATAAAAAAATTATTAAAATTCCTTATTATTTTCAAAATTTTTGTTAAGGGGCAAATCACCGTCAGACAAGGGCGTAGTTTTAAATCGGATTTATAAGACTAAAATGGAATTCGTGCCAAAACTTAAGTATTGTAAATGCAAGAATTATTTGGGGGTAGAGACAGATACTAGAGCCAGCCGAAAACCAAATATTTCGGCGCAGCTGCTGCAAAGGATGTTATGGCTTGAAAAAATAAGTCGGATCGTCGACGAGTTTTAAATTGTTTCCGTATCTAATTTCAAATTAAGGAACGAAAAAAGATCAAATTTCGAGTAAGTGACATCCCTAGCCCCCGAATATTTAACAAGTTAAAAAATAAACCTGTTATTAGTTGTTGAACTACTAGGCTTTGTCAAATCCTCATCTTCCCCCAAATTTTTATTTTTAATACATTGCTCCAAAATTTCTCTATTTGTTATTATTTTGTTTTCATTTCCCTCTTCTTTTGAAAAATTTAATTTTCTTTTTCGTTGTTGAGACTTTTCTAATCTAGATTCTTCTTTTAATAGCAATTCTGACAATTTTGAAGCTAATGAAGTATTTTCTTTAAAATAAAAAAAAATTAATTTTAAAGGAAAATATTTTTACAAAACTGAAATTAATGAGTCATAGAGATTACTTGTGGACACAACCTTGGGACTGAAAAATAGTACCTTATAATGTGGTATATCTTAAATTGGATGTATTGCTTACATAAAAATCGCATGCATCTTGGCGACAGAAAATATAACAGAAAAGAAGGATGAGCGAGATTTTGTCCCACGTTCCTTTGAATGTTACTTTTTTATCGCAAGACGCAAACGATTCTTATGTGAAGCATTTTTGGGGAGTTGGGCTCATAATCAGTAGCGAACTAAATTAAAGAAAACGTATATCCTAGTCTACTAAAGTATTGTGTGTATCTTTGTGAAGTCTGACAAAAATTTAAAAATAATCAAAAAAAAAACCTGAAGATATTTTACTCAAAGGTGTTTGTTTAACAACTTCAAAAGAATCTTCTGCTTCTTTATTTTGTGACTTTTCGGGTGTTTCTGGAATTACTTGAAGAAGTTTACGTCTTGCTTTTGATTTTAATTTGGTTGGATTAATTGGTGAAGATTTGTGTATTCGACGTTTTGGTTTATCTAAATAATAAAAAATTCTAATTTTGAATATTTAAAACAAAAACAAGCAAAAAGCTGGAAATTTCGGTTGTCAAAAAACAAAATTTCGGGAAAAAACAAAAACGAAATTTTGTCTTGTCTCCTATTCCCTCCAAATCCCCCATAAACCAGGCAAAAAAGGAGCATATCCTTGGACAATCATCTAGATAGAAAATTAAAAAAAATTTTCCCCAAATGATCTGCTCCGTTATCCAAGTTTGGAAAATAGACTAACTCCCCAAAATTAACTAAATCTACCCCATGCCTAATTTTTAAAAATAAAATTAACGAAAAAACCTTTTTTCTTGTCCAGCTTTTGTTCCTCCTTTTGTCCAACTTCATCTTCAATTTCCTTCAAAAGTTGTTCCATCCGATCAGGTTTTTTGTCATTATTGGTGGAAGTATCCATTGAAGTAACGGAAATGTCCATTTGTTGAGAGGAAGATTGCTCCATAATATCATTCTGTGAAAAAATTTTTTTAGTAAAGAAAAAATAAAAAAACTCGAGGCAAAATTCCGTTATTTGTCCCATACGCCAATTCAGAACATTCTGGTCACTCTTTACGTTTTTGACCATTATGGGACCATAACTCAACCCACAATTGAGAACCGGGTTTAATCTTGGTGTCTTTCATTCAGCTCGACGAGCTCTTTCAAATAACAATATTTGTCCGAATCGAATTAAGGAACATATGACGGAATTTTCCCAATTTGATTATTCTATAAATATGTCCGCAAAAAAGATTTGCGGACATTTGTCAATTTTTTATTCACCCTGTGAATAGCTCTGGAATAGCATTTATTTTCTAGTCACCAAAGTTATCGAAACCCGAAAAATAAAACGAAATGAAGGAAAAACGAAATTTCGGGAAAAAACAAAAACAAAATTTTGGCTTCTCTCCTATTCCCTCCAAATCCCCCATGATTACCCTAATATTTAAAAAAACCTTGTTGTCCTGTTTATTAGCCATAGCAATATAATTAACAATCCCAACTTGTTTTTCTCTTCCACCAACACAATTTAAATGTAAACGAACATTTTTATATTTAATTATTTGTTGACAATCAATACAAGTAAATAAATAATTTTTACATTTTATCAAATGTTTTTTTATTTGTTGCAATTTATTTAAAGATTCGTTGCAGTTGTTACAAATAAAGGCTCCCATATTGCTTTTTTAACTGATAAAATCTAAGAAAAAACTAAGAAAAATTTAAAAAAAAAATTTAAAAAATTCAAAAAGCCCGCTTGGGTAGCTTTTAAAAAGCAAAAGCGCGGTAAGGGACTGTAGAGTCTAGCCTTTTGAGTCTCGTCAAAATTTTGATCTTTCTGGAAAGATGAAAAGAAAATTTTTTTTGACTGATACTCAAGCTACTTTTTTTTATTTTTAAATAAAAAAACACGATGCCAATAATTTTATTTTGGAAAAATTGTTGAAATATTTCCGACATTTGGGGACAGGGGGGGGGGTAGACAAAATGGGACACTGCCACATATCCGTCAAAAGAGTACTTCGGCTAAATTAAGACAAAAAGGTACAAAGGGCAGAAAAAGACAAAAAGGAATTCTAAGATGTTGTTTCACTTTTTTACTGTTTCAGTCACTTTTAAGTACAGTCATTATCTTATAAAAATACTTAAACATGCAAAAAATTTATAAAATCATCGAAATATAAAATTTTAAAAAATCAAAAAAACTAATTAATTCCATTGTAAATTTAATTGTTCAAAATATTTTTTCCCAAGCTGTTCAGTTGGTTGTATTGAAGTTAAATGATTTTGTCGTCCACTTCTATTGTAATTTATATAACGTCTAAAGAAAACAAAAGCTGTGGAAATATAGACAAGTTGAAGCTGAAAATAAAAAATTTCGGTGAATTGACTTTCCGGTGAATTGTCTTTTTCAGTAAATTGTCTCATTCGGTGAATTGTCTTATTCGGTGAATTGTCCCCTCTCCCCTTATATTTAAAACTTACAACAGTAATTAAATTATAATTAGCCAAAAATACACTAAACGGCAAAACAGGTTGAAATGAACGTAGAATAATTACTAAACCAAAATATATCGAATTAGTTAATCCATAGGCTATATCTAATGGAAGAATGAAACGGATAGCTAATAAATTCTCGTGGAATTGATAATTCTCCGCTAAACTGTAGCCGTTGTTATTTAATTGTTGGTTGCTACTAAAACATTTTTTAAATTATTATTTTTGGGTACTATTAGAAGTACTAAACAATTTTTTAAATGGAAACCCTTGGGCTTGTATTTTTCCTCAAGTCTAGGTCGAAAATAGTTTTTCGGTGTATTGTCTTTTACGGTGAATTGTCTTTTTCAGTAAATTGTCTTTAAAGAGTCAAATTTTTAATAGAAAATTTTAAATTTTTTTTTTCAAAAAACCAACTTGCTAAAAACCATTTTTCTCATTTTTCCATTCTTTCTCAACAATAAATAATCCCCCAATATAGTTAAGGATAAAATAAAAAGCATAAAATAGGTCTGATAAATGGACAATAAATTGCTTCTATTTGTTACTGTCTTTAAAAATTGAGGGAAAAAAATTTTTAAAAAAATATTTATTCAATTATTTACAGCATTATATGCCAACATTTTATTCCATTCCATATTATAATCATCCAAAACAATATAGGCATAAAATGCAAAATAAAGTAAGGAAATTATCATCTAAAATTGAAATTTTTAGATTTTCTTTGTTATACGTCTCTGACAATCAGAACCTAGAAAACTTAAAAAACAACTAAGGGGGATGTTACATTCACTAAGGTGAATGTTAATTCCTTAATACACCATAGTGCCCCTTCTGGGCATCATTACCAAGCTTATCAAGGCATGAGGTCTTTTCTACTTCATTTTTCACTGATTCCCCACTTTTTTTGGATTTTTCTGCTTCCGCCTTCCTTTTTATTTCTTTCCACATTCTTCCGACTTTTAAATGCGAAAGGACTCATCCCTGCATAAGAAAAAGAGGTCTAAGTTACTGGAAACTGGGGTTGCGGGGAATTCGAGCCGCGGGCACGGGGAACGGGGGCTCTGGAGGGAGAGACCTCCCCCCGTTCCCCCGGGAACTCCCTGCCCCTGGGAACGGGGATAGTATTATCTAAAAGAAGGATCACTCTTAATTATTCCTACTCATAATTCCTTTAGATTATAAAAGTTCCTCTCAAAAAAATAAAAATATTAAAATCAACTCACAACAATTATTACAACAAAAATTCCAAATTTCCTATCTTCATTTTCATATTTTCTAGCCAATTTAGTAGCTCTCCAGCGTTCCAATACCGCGCAAAAATGCAGGAGAGGCATAGAACACGAAAAAATAAAGCCAAAACAGCCTCTAGATAATAAGGAATACCAGAGGGGGCAAAGCATTGAACAGGGATTTGTTCCGTTTGGATCGGAGATTGTTAAAAACTTGAAAAGAATTTTGATTAATCTCCATCGGAAAAATAAAAAATTTTTCTTACAATATGGCGAAATTCAACAAGAAAATACCCGGCAACAATATTCATTGAACTAAGCACAATAAATACATAAATAAGCTAAATATAAAAAATCACTAGAACGAATTATTTTTGATTTAGGGGGATAAGAGGGGGATCTACTAAAGGAAGATAAGTGTCAAATTTATTGACGAGCAGAGGTTAGTCGGAATTCCGATTTCCGACTTTCGGGCCATTTCCGACAGTTCCGATTTCCACCTCTGTTGCCGAGTCAAACAACTTCAAAGAGTACAGAGATACCCATCTACCTCTCAACCAAAATTTTCCGTAAAATTTGGGTTGGACAAGCTCAAGTTAGGTATCCCCGTCCCCGTGTCTGTCGGTGACTAGGTATCCCCGTGTCTAGGTGACTAGGTAGGTGACTAGGTATCCCCGTGTCTAGGTGACTAGGTAGGTGACTAGGTATCCCCGTGTCTAGGTGACTAGGTAGGTGACTAGGTATCCCCGTGTCTAGGTGACTAGGTAGGTGACTAGGTATCCCCGTGTCTAGGTGACTAGGTAGGTGACTAGGTATCCCCGTGTCTGCCAGTGACAAAAATGACAAGACATTCTCAAGTTAAATTATGGTTCTGTTGTTGACTGAGAGGTGACCTACAGGTACATGTTCTTCCCCCACCTTATCTCTCACAAATAAAACAAACTTTTAAATTTCCATGTAAAGCTAGTCGATACTTTTTATAATCCAAAAATAAGAATACAAAAAGAATAACTGGAATAGTGTTGAAAATAAGCATAATAATTCTAGCGATTTGGGCATATTTTGTTAAAATAATGTCCCTAGCTAGAAGACAATCTGAGGAATTATTATCCATTTTTTAAACTTTTTTTGAAATTAATTTTAAAAAATTCTGAAAATTTAAAGGTTATTTAAATAGGTAGATGTACCTAGAGGCGTTTCTTAAAATAAAGAAAAATGTCACGAATAATTAAATTTTGTATTTGAAAAAAGTTTAGTGACAAGATCAGGTTCATATTTTAAACTAAACCGTAGAAAATTTAATTTTAGAGCACAAAGTTTATCTTAAATAAATTACTTATTTGCATGCCGTGCAAAATCCAATGAATGGCAAAGGGTTAAAACTATCGTGGAGACACAAGTCTGCTCAAAATTTGTATTCGTTGTGTTCTCTTTTATCTTCTTATATCGCTTAACCCGCGCCTGTTTAAATGCTCTAGGTGAATCATTAATCATGAATCAGTAAGAAAACAATTTTGTAACTTTTTTAAAAATTAATTTTTAAAATTTTTAAACAAAAAAAGATTAATTTTTAAATTTAAAGTTTACTAAATTTTGTTAAACTTGTCCGTTAACCTCTCTTTACTATTAGGTATATTTAAAGTTTATTTAATACAAGTAGGCGTTCTTCAAAAAGAAAAAAATTAGGCTTACTAATTAAACTTTGACTAGTCACGAATAAATAATTAAAGTTTGTATTTTAATATTATAGTCTTAAATTAAAAAAAAATTTTTTCTTTGGTACACAATTTTGACTAAACCATAGCAATATGTAGTAATTTAAGTCGGCTCTGAGGTGTACCAAAAGACTGCCTTTAGACGTAATTAATCACGAAATTTTTTCACTAAATAAACCAAAAATGCTTTTAAATTAAAATTAAAATAAATTAGTAATTACTTAGACTACCATAATTATTTACTAGATTAAAGGGAACAGATGCTTATTATTTAAATAAAAACACCTGTTAAAAATTGGCTTTTAATTAATTAAAAACTTAAGAATTTTAATTAAAAGAAATGTGTTTTTTATAGAAAACGGATGTTAAATACAAAATTTCCGGAAATGCTTGTGTTTTTAAATTACTTATATGTATTTGTGTATTTTTATAAAAGAAAATATTTCCGGAAAACTTTCCGGAAATTGTTAATGTATTTTTAAATAGAGTCCAAATGTATTTTTATAAAAATAATGCTTCCGGAAAACTTTTCCGGAAATTTTGTATTTTATAATACAAAGTAAATATTTTTCCGGAACTTTTTAAATTATATATGTATTTTTCTAAATATTAAGACGTCCGGAAAACTCCCCCGAAAATGTGAATTTTTATAGAAATAAATAATGCTTCTGGGAAAATTCTATATTTTTGCCTGCATAATTAATTTTTGAAATTATTAAATTCTTGAATAATTTATATCACTATTTATATCCATATTATAAATAGACTAAAAATTATTTATATCTTTAATAAAAATCTAAAAAAATTTAATAAAACTTTTTATACAAACAAATTATAAAAAATAAAAAAATATATAAAATAATTATAATGTTACAAAGGTCTGCCAATCTTTCCTAAATAATAAGCCCAATAACCAATATTAAAAACAAGATAAGACATAGGGAATAAAACTAAAATAGTAAAATTAAATTTGTTTATAAATTAATTCTGTATTTTCCTGAAAGGCTTGTATTTTTAATTGTATTTTTGTATTTTGTATTTTTGTTTCCGGAAAAGGATGTATTTTTGTGTTGTATTTTTATGCTTCCGGAAAAATGTATTTTTGTTTCCGGAAAAGGCTTGTATTTTTTGTGTATTTTATAAAAATAAACATTTCCGGAAAAGTATTCCGGAATTTTTGTTGTGATATAATTAAAATTTAAATTAAATACATAGTGTATATTATAAAAACTGTATTCCGGAATTTGTGTTTCAATATAATTAAAATTTAAATCTAATACATAAAAACACTTACTCATAGAAATTCTGTCAACTTGAACAGAAGTAATTGTCCAATCCCTTTCAGAAGTAAAAGGATTTAATTTGTGTAAACGATTAGAAAATTGTCTGAATAATTTGCGCCACCAACGTATTTCCTTTAAAAATACAAAAAATAATTTGTAATAAAAAGAATTATCACATGGACTGGAGGAATAAGTAGAGAATTGTCTTCTTCTGAAAATTTATTTTAAATAATTAAAATGTGTTTTTGGAATGAATTTTTCTAAAATTAGTTTTTAAAAAAATATATTTTTTTTTGTTTTCCGGAAAGGTGTGCTTAATGTATTTTTGTTATCCGAAATTGCAAATGTTTTTTGGAGTTGTAATTTTGTATTTCGTTTTCCGGAAGTTCAATTACCTACATATTTGTTTTCGGTATATTGTACTTATGTATCTCTAACTTCCGGAATTCTAAGTATGTGTTTTTCGGGAAATGTAATTAATGTATTTTAAATTGAATTGTATTTATTGTATTTTTGTTTACCGGTAGGTTTAATTAACCATGTATTTTGTTTCCGGAATTTTATTTTATGTATTTATGAGTTATTTTATTTGTGTTTTCCGGAATTGTGTTTAATGTATTTTTATTTTCTATAATACATGTTTTCGCTTCCGGAATTTTAATTATGTATTTTTCAAGAATTATTTTGTATTTACTAAAGTACTATTCAATCATTACTCTAACCATGTCTCGTAATACAAGTATTATTAGCAACATTATTTTTATTATTTTCCGTAGTTGTTCCTCTAAATATGGCCGATTTTTTGTCATTATTTAATAAATTAGAATTCGTTGTTGTTTTTGTATTATTATTTATATTATTACAAATTGTTTCCGATTTTATTTGATTTAATTTTATTTTTTCGTTGTTGTGAATGGGCGAATTTCCTCCTCCTCCCCCACCCCCTCCCACACTCGAAGGGGAATATGTCGGTGAAGGTATAGGTGAAGCAGAATTGCTTTCTTTTCTGATGGGGGATAACAAGAACCTTTTCCTAACAACTCCAGTACTTCCCATTCCTCCATCTGAATGGTCTGGATGGTTGGAAGAATCAAAATTTGTTGTCTGTTTTCGTGTTTTTCTTTAAATATTTTAACTTTTAGAAAAATTAAAAAAAAATTTTTTGTGCCTTATTTGGTTGAGCCAATGTCCGAGCACTTTAGAACCGATTTGTCTTTCACGTTCCCAACGATTTAACTTGAACAAAAAAATTTTCTAAAATTAATATTGTGAGTAACCTGGCATATTATAGACAACTCAACAAGTGTCCTTTTAAATTAAAAAATTATTTTAATTAAAAAAAAAGGATTTACAAAAATATAAATATAACAGAGAAGATCATCCAAACATCGAGGCACTTTAATTTAGAAATTTAAGATAAAATTAAATATTAAATTATACCTTTATGTAGCTGACTCGGGGTAAATGCCTGAAAATTATTTAATAATATTTACTTGTATTTCCAGAATTAATTAATTCTATTTTCCGGTAGTGATTTTTGTATGTGTTTCAGGAAAAAATAGTCTAGGTAGTTTTCATTGTATTTCTATTTCTTTCAGGAAAAGAATATGTATACCAGTGTATTTTCCGGAAGTTGTTAATCGTATTTTCTGGTATAATTTTTATATCCCTTTTCCGGAAGAAAATGTATGATTTCATTGTTCTTGTATTTTTACTGTTTCCGGAAAATATACATATGTATTTTCCTGTTTAATAAGCTGTATTTTCAGGAATTCTTATTAAAATTTTATTATATATAGGTATTTTGAGATTGTATTTTTTGTTTTTCCGGAACAATTCTTTTAGGATAAGGTATTTTTCCGGAATTAATAATACTGTAATACCATCACTACTTAACTAGATATCCATAAAAATATTTTTCTAATTTAAAATTTTTCAAAAATTTTTTTCTATTTTTGAAATTTAACCTAAGAACATTTCCAAATTGAAAAGTTAAGGCTAAAAGTGAAGAAACGCCAAGTGTAATCCTCGCCGATACAGAACGAACATCAAAGAAGAACCCTACCCACGAGCTAATGACAGTTAGACTTGTTGGGAAGTAGGATTGAAAGAGGTAAAAGCCGTAGCGTCTAGCGAATGTAAATTTTACTTGAGCACGGTCCTAAAATTAATTTTTGAAATTAAAAATAAAATTAAAATAACCCATATTCCATTTGGGTATTCTAATCTTTCGTGATCTGTCCCCCATCCAATTAAATCAAAATCTGGCAGTTCTACTTTTTCCATCATCTCAAAAATTTTTTTTTGAATTAAAAAAATTTTTTTAAAAACCGTCACAGGCGTTTCATGCCATACAAGCCTAACTTCTTCAGTATTGAAGGAGTATGACTCGAAAATTAAGTGACAAACAATGGAGTCAAACGGAAACATTTTCTTTAATTAAATTAAAAATAAGGAATAAAAAATATTTTTATTTATTTACCAAATCCATTTTACATGGTGCTCTTACATTTAATCTAAACATTAAAGTAAATAAAATATAATATTTAATGTTTCCGGAAAGATTTTAAAAATTGTAAATAAGTTGGTAAATGTATTTTTTATGTATTTTCGGGTAAATAAGAGTTGAATTTATTTTCCGGAAAATACATAAATACGCATTTTTCCGGAAACAATTAAAAAGGTGTTTTCCGGAATATGGGGTTGTATTTTATATTAAATTATATTTTCCGGAAAATACACATGTATATACGCATTTTTCCGGAAACAATTAAAATGTGTTTTTCCGGAATATGGGGTTGTATTTTATATTAAATAAGTGTTTGTATTTTCCGGAAAATACATAAATACGCATTTTTCCGGAAACAATTAAAAAAGTGTTTTCCGGAATATAAGGTTGTATTTTATATTAAATTATATTTCCGGAAAATACATGTATATACGCATTTTTCCGGAAACAATTAAAAAGGTGTTTTTCGGAATATAGGGTTGTATTTTATATAAAATGAGTGTTTGTATTTTCCGGAAAATACAAACAAAAAAAAATACAAACATATATAAATTATAATTAGTAATTAAAGGACCTAAAATTAGACCAAACAAGTCCATGCTCGTATAATATCACAAACTAAAAAATAAATAATACATAAATTTAATTTTTAAAATTACAGTATTTTCGGAAGGACTTCGATGTATTGATGAACCTCTCGAATTAATTATGCCTAAAATTTTATTTTAATATTTTTAAAAATTAAAAAAATTTTTTACAAGTGTCTGGCGTCCATACCCTCGCGCGAAAATCACTTCTAAAAATTAAATTATTTTTTTTATTATTTTTTTATTTTACTTTAGGGTAATATTGGTAGTGCAAACATTTAAGTGTTTAAAACTTAAACGAGGATCCATCCTTTTTAAAAATGAAAATTTAATCAAAACTTATAAAATAAACCATATTTCGCTGTACATTAAATCGAGTTCTAAAAATTTTTTGTTTAAATAAATTATTATTTTAATTACCAAAATCAGCTGTAATTTCTGATATTTTTGAAACACCCTAAAAATAACAGATTAATTATAGGAGATGGACAGGTCTTATTTATAACCGAGAAAGGTATACACCGTCATTTCCTAAAAGGGTTATAATAACGTGTGGATAAAATTGCCAGGCCTGGTTCCAGGGTTCAATAAACCTCAATTTAAGGCAAATTCTTAAAGCTGATTAAGAGACACCCTAAAAAATACTTCCTAATTTAAAATACAACTATTGTTTCCTTCCTCATAGGGGTATTTTTCCTTCACCAAAGAGAGAGGTTTCTTATGATTTACAAGATTTCTTTCCTAATTTAAAAATTTTTTTCAAAATTAAATTTAGTTACCTGTACATGTAATTCTATAGTAACATTAACACCATCCGCTTCAGGTAAAAGACTTTAAAAAAATTTTTTTAATTTTTTAACTCTTCAAAAATTTTTAACTGAGTATCATAATCCCTCAAAATTTGTTCAATAATATTTCCCAAATTGATAGAATTTCGAGTACACCGATTAGAGTCGATTAAAGTAGTTGTGGTTGTTTTTAAAAATAAAAATTGGATTAACAAAAATATAAATAAAATTTTTGGAAAATTAAAAGAAAGAATTTGGGAAGAATTAAATTTAAATAATTTATTATTTTTAATTAAAAAATTATTTTTAATTAAGGGGGCAGATTGAAGGGGTTGGTGTTGGTGACAATAATAATTATTATTTTTATTTTTATTATTTTTTAAAAATAAAATTTTTTTTGCGGAAGAAGTAAATTTATTAAAATAATTTAATATTAATTTGGAATGATTTTTAATAGGAAAATTATTTTTTGGGAGTTTTTGAAGACTTTGGTTGTTGTTTTGATTGTTGTTGTTTTGGTTGTTGGAAGAAGAAACACAAGGGGGGAAGTCATCCACCTTTTGTTGATTCATTCTATATTCACTAAAAAATTTTTTTTTTAATTTTAAAAATTTCAAAAAAAATATTTATTGACTAAAAAACAAAGATTTTATTATTGAAGAAATAATAGAGAGAAATTTGCTCTAATAAAAATTGAAATAAAAAAAGGCAGGAGGGAAGGGGTTTTATGGGCTAATGATTTTTATGGATATTATTTAAAAAAAACAAAAAAAATATTTTTAAAGACAAAAAAAAATTTCAAATTTTATTTTTTAAATTTTAGTTAATAAAAATATGTATGTAGAAAAATAGAAACACACTCGAAAACGTTGAAAAATTAAAATTAAAAAAATCTTTTTTTAACGATTTATTCGATCACCTAAATTAAGGTTATCAAAAAATAACAAAAAAAATTGAATCATGTCGGATACTAAATTAAAAATTATAAAAAAATTTTTGAACGATTTATTTGAAAAATAGCAAATTTTATCGAAAAATAACGAAAAAATAGCCAAATTAAAAATTATAAAAATTCAAAAATATAACAAAAAAATGTAGTGACTTCTAAGGAAAAGAAGTTTCTTAATCAAAAAAATTTTCTTAGTTAAAAAAATTTTTTTTATCCTTCAAAAAAAAATTCCTAGCCTTCTATGACTTGTTATTATTTTCTAAAATAAAAAACGACAGATTTTATAAAACTGTCTCTAAGTTATTCAATAATCTTTCAAAAATTTTTTTTTATTTTTTCGTAGCAATAAATGAAACCCTTTCTTTATTTTATCCTTCATTTTAGGGCATCGAGGACACTTTAAAAAGAAGTAAAAAAAAATAAAAAGAGAAAGGTTTTCGTAAAACTTTATTTATTTATTTTCTTCTTTATCCATACAATTTATTTATTTATTCCCTGTTCATTGATAAAAAAAATTTTTTTAAACGGCATTTACTCATCCCTCTCCTTTTCCTTTGCCTGCTGCTAACATCAAAATCCTCAAGAAAAAAATTTTATTAGGGCAATTGAATTATTGATTAGATAGAAGAAATTGGGAAAAATAAATAAAAGATTTTTAAGAAAGTGATAAAAGGGTGGAAAAATTAAACAAAAATAAAATAAATAAATTTAAAAATAAAAATTTAATTAAAATTTATTTTTTTTATGGAACTGTGCTGACTTAGAATGAACGAGATTGACCTTGAATTGAAATTCTAAAACGTTTCTAGGTTTAATGATTCCTTAAAAAAGTGATAAAAAGGTGAAAGGGGGCATCGAGGACACTTTAAAAGAAGTAAAGGTCCCTTCTTAGTCCTCTTAAAATTTTATTTTAAATTTTTTTAAAATTTAAACACAGTAAATATCAGTTATCAACCAACCCAAAGGAAAGTTCAAAAAAAGACTCAAGGCATTAAAAAAATTTCTTTTTTAATTGGATAAAGTCAAAGCGTTGCCGTCAAAATTCAAATGCATTAAAGACAGCAAATCTATTAAAAACATCCGAATCGGGGATCTGATTTAGACAATTAGAGACCATCGAGAATATTTAAAGTTCAATAAATTTTAAAATTTTATTATTTTCAAAATTCAACAAAAATAAAAAAAAACTTTTTTCTCATTTTTCAAAAAATAAATTTAAAAAATCTTTTTTTAAAAGTGTGGCAAATGATGCTTTTCTTTTCCTTCTTTTTTTATTTTTTTTTAAATTGCCGACTATATACTTTTCAAAATCTCTCCAAAAAAACTAACGGCTGCTACTCATTTTTTACTCATAAAAAATATTTCTCTCATTTATCCCCCCAACTCTTCATAATATCCCCCCAAGTATTTCTTTCTTCCCCTATTTGTTTGTGTGTAAATCGATAGGTCTTCTTTTATTTTTTAAGCCTAGAGGGGAAAATAATGGAAAAATAAAAAAGAAAAAAAATTTAAAAAATAGTCTGACCTCATTAAAAGATACAGTCGGACCTCAGCTTGTTGAAATTTTTGTTTCTTATAATGAGGGGTATATTATATTGAGAGTATCGCTTAGACAACCCCCTAGTGGAAAAGAATTGAAATGACAAAACTAACAGTCTTTTGAATCCAATACCCGATCCGAAGAAAATCTTGAAACCGACCCGAAAGCTGACCCGACTCTATCTCGTAATTGGGTGTAGTACATCTTATTTAAAAATTTAAGGAATTAATTTGAATTTTTTTATATAAATTAGATATAGTATTTATGTATTTTATTCAAATTATAAAATTCCAATGAAAGTAAGTTCATTGAATATCGTTAGTTAAAAAAATAATAATTAAATAATTGTTTTTATTCAATTTTCCTGAGTACAACATTTTCACTTTCCCTGAGTTTTAAATATTTTTATAGGTATTTTTTGAAAAATTAGCCGTTGATGGCACGAGCGCGGGCTCTGAAAATTTTTTTTATTTCCTAATTTATTAAAATTAAAAAGATTGCCTAGCCGCAGCAGCATTTGCTCTAGCTTCTGCTTCAATTCTCTAAAAATTATTTTTAAATAAATTTAATTTTATTTGTTTATTACTCTTGCTCTAGCTTCATTTTCAAGTCTACGTGCTCTAGCTTCAGCCTCCAAACGAGCCCTACGAGCCCTATTTTCAGCTTCAATAGCACGGGCACGTGCTCTAGCTTCAGCAGCAATTACCGCAGCAGAACGGTAAGGCTCTGGATCGGCTAAAACACCAAATGAATGCTGGAAGAATTAACATTTTTTTTTAATTAAAAATATTTCTTTAACCTTTTCATTTTGATGTTTATCTAACAATAATATTAGTGTAATAAACAGAAAAATATTTACACTAAAGTGCTTCATTTAATTTGTATTTCTATCTATTTTTGTAAAAATAATTTTTATTAATCGTAAAAACAATGTTTATTAAGAATAAAAACATGGCAAACAATGTTTGTTAAGAATAAAAACATCTCTAACAACTTTTATTAATAGTAAAAACATGCAAGAACAAGGCTTATTAAATGTTGCTGTTTAAATGTTTATCAAACAAAAACATGTTTTATGTTTATTAAACACAAAAACATTATAAAAACAAAAACATTGACAAAAACATTAAACACTTAAACCTTCTAAAATGTTTATTAATACCAAAAACATTGTAAAAACAAAGTTAACCAAACAAAAACATATATAAACTTTTATAAAACATTCAAACAAACATGTTTTAATAGATTTTTAAGGTTTTTTGAGTTATAATAAGTTTCAAGAACAATGCATCAAAAGTTTCAAAAAATAGAAAATTGTTGCAAATGAATTAAAATCTAAATAAATTCAACCTCTTATAAAGCAACAAAGTTTATTTACCAAAACAAGTTTATTTATAAATTTTTACAATTAATTCGCAACTTTAACTTTTAAAGGATGATAAGTTTATTAAAAAATACAAGTTTTTGCTCTCTATTAAAATTAAATTGTAAAGAAAAATTAAAATAAAAACAAGTTTTAATATCGGGAATTTCAAAATTTATGCTCCTTTATTCTCCGAATTAATTTTTATGCCTTAGGCGACCGAATAAAAATTTATTTAATTACTTGCGACAAAGTGGCCATGGACAAATTTTTTCGCGACAAAATGTCCTTGAATTGTTTTTTATTTTTATTTGAATTTTTCTTCAGGGAAATTTTTTATTTATTTTGGCTCAAAACGGTCAGACAAATTTTTTTTGTTTTTTAATTTTTTTTGGTTAAAAAAAATTTTTGAATTTTTTATTTAGACTTACCTAATTAAGAAAAATGACTACTTCAACATCTACTCAACAACCAACTGTTGCTCAAAAAATTTTATTTAAGGAACTTTGTAATGTATTTCAAGAAATTAAATCAACATATAGAGCAACCAAGCATTTTGTTTTTAATAAATTTTTGAGACGTTGGAGGGATGAAATGGTTAAAGAAAATGTTGAAGATGGGTTTATCGAATATAGAACTGATGATACTTTTTATCCCGCTTTGCGGTTATTTGTGCCTAGTAAAGATGTGAAAATTAGGGAATTTAGAATTAAAGAGGTTTGTTTTTTGGGTTCTTTTTAAATTTTATTTTATTATTAAAATTTACTTTGAAATCGAAGCCTGGTCCGAGTCTTAGGCCTTGAGTTCACGAAGAACCCTGTTTGTTCAAAAAGCAGCCTGAACACTTAGGTTGGCCTAACCGGATCCCTGGTTGTAGGCCAGTAAGAACCTAGCAAGTTAAATGCCTGTGACTGGCCTCTGCTCGGTCAGTCGCAGTTCGATCTATATAAAATAGACAAACCTCAAAAATCCGCCGCAAGTATGTATCAAAGAATAATATTTTTTAAAAAATATATAAGAGAGGGGTTAAAATCAATCCCCGTATATTTTTAGGAAAATAACCAAATTAATAAAAGAACAATTTTTATTTAACTAAAATTAAAAAAATATTTTTAGAAAAAAAAATAATTTCTAAAAAATAATTCTTTCAAAGGCAAAACTCAACCAATTAGTTTGTAACTCAATTGCGGCAATGCCACTAAATCCTGTACCTACAAATTATGATTTGTTGGTTGAACGGCTTGTAAATATGTCTGCAGATCGTTTCCCTGTTAATACGGCAAAATTGACAATTTGGGAAGTCAATGAATTTTTGGACAGAATTAAATACCCGAATAGTGTTGATATTCGTTTGTTTTTTTTTTGTTTTTTTACATTTAGTTTTGGTTGGTAAGTGAGTTGGAATTTTTTTTAGAAATCTGAGTCAGGTCTAATTTTTGGATTCACTGTTGTGTTTTATAGTGGGCTCGTTCTTCCCTGTTCTTTGGGTTTTTGTTTTCCTAGGCTCAGAAAATACAGTGGATAGGGGAAAGCTCGAACTTTGGCCTCTCATATTTCTTTTTCTCATTCCCAGGAAAATTTGTGGATTCAGTAAGAACTCGAACATTTGGCTAGATGCAGTTTCCTGTAATTTACTTGTCAAAGTTCGAACTTTCCTGCATCCACTGTATTTTCCGAGCTTGGGAAAAATAAACCCTGAAGAACATATCAAAAATTAAAAATTAAGCTATCCCGAATTTTAAAACCCTCGTTCTGTTGTCAACTGACTTTTTAACACAGACATAATTTTTAAATAATTTCAGAAGAAGAAGCGATGGATAAACTTTGTCGTCAATGTACTCCAAACGAACTTCGATTTATTTTTCATATAATTTTGGGTAATATAGAGAGATATATCGATATGTCTGGACATACTTTAATGAGAACCTTTCATGCTGAAGCAGATAATTTATGGAAGGTTTTTTTAATTTTTAAGGATTAAAAAATTTTTTTCAAAAGGAAGGTGATTCACTCCAATTAATTTGTGAAAAATTTGCTGACCCAGAAACTGAGAATTCAATGAATTTGACTGGACATTTGTTATGTAAACCGTTTAGACCAATGCTTTTGAAGCGTCTAAATTACAATAAATATTGCTTGGCAAAGGTATTTCTTTTATTGGATATGAAATTTTAAATTTTATTTCTCTCTTCCTTCCCCGAAAAATTTTGATTTTCACACTTTCGAACTTCCACTTGTGTTATTTGTTATAGTTTTTGGGCAGATTTTCGTTTTCAATTTTTGTCTTTAGCTTAAGGTACTCATTCTGACCACAATGATTTTTTATAGCCAAAGACCCAGTTATCCCGTTCCAAAGTCGAAGTTGCTACCAGTGTTTGGAAATTTAAAATATGCTTGTAATACCTTCGTATAGCCTTGTTTTTGATACATTTTCCTGGCTATTTTTTTGAACTCTAGTTTGAATTTTGGTAAAAGTTTCCAAAAACTTCCAAAAAATCTTCAACATTAAAAAAGGCTACATTTGTATAGCCTTGTTTCCTGTCTATTTTTTTTCGAATTTTGGTACGGGCTTCCAACCACGGGTCGCTACCCTCTAATCTTCAACTTAAAAAATTTTTTTATTGAAGATAATTCGTTATTGCCAACGTCCATTCTATTTGGAAACAAAATATGACGGAGAACATTTAATAGTCCACAAATATGAAAAAATTAATTATAAATATTTTACAAGAAATGGTGTTGATTATACAAATAAATTGGGGAGGCATTATGAATTGCTATTTTCTAAAAGAATTCATAAATATTTTAGAGAAGAAATTGTTGATTGTGTTTTGGATTGTGAATTGCTTATTTGGGATAATAATTTGAATTGTTTTGGTAAGAAAATATTTTTTTTAAATTTATGTAGATATTTGCGGATAAAACTGAAAAGCTTTGGAAGTGGAACGTAACAGTCACTGCTGGATTTTAATGGCATATTCCGCCTTAAAATTATTTATTTAATGGTTGTCTCTGACCCTTTGAGGTCGAAAAATGCTGGGTTTTAGGATTTGCGGACAAACAGATTTAAGATTTGCGGATAAAACTGAAACATATTGAATTTTGGATGAATGACCACTAGGCATTTTTATGGCTCATTCCACCTTCAAGCTTTATTTTAGGTTTTTCCCGACCCGGCGGGGTCGAAAAGGTCAGAAGTTTTCGTTATTGAGACTTCAGGCCATAGTTTTAGCCAAAAAATATTAGAGCTCGGAATCAACCCTAATTTATTTTAACTAAGGAACTCTTGTTTTAAGTGTCCGCAAATGTCGATCTGCAAAACTAAAAGTCCGCAAATATTAATATTTTTCTTAAAAATTAGTTGAATTTTTAAATTAAAGTTGGTAAAAATAGACGTGCTTCAGATGGAAATGTTTATGACCCAAAATATATGGATGATGATTTTTTTGAGAATAATAAAACATTTGAAAGGAGTATAGGTATGTAAATATTAAATTTAAAAAATTAAAAAAAATTTTTTCAGCAGTTTTTGATATTCTTTATTTAAATGGAAAATGCCTTATAACCGAAAAATTAACATTGAGTGAACGTGTAGCATTACTTGAGAATATTTTTGTTGAAGAAGACTTGTCTACAATATTTATTTCTACAAAAAAATTAATTAATAAAGCGTTCGTTTTTTTAATAATTTTTTCATTATAAATTTGTGGGAAATTTTTCTGCAAATTTTGTCCGCAAAAATTTTGTCCGCAAAAATTTTTGCGGATTTTTAAATTAAAAAACTTTTTAATTTTAGTGAAGACTTTGTCAATTATTATAAAAATGCAATGTCACAAAACGAAGAAGGAATTGTTGTAAAATCATTAAATTCACTTTATCGTCCCGGTAGTCGTGCAGAAAAGAATGGATGGTTTAAAATTAAGCCGGATTATGGAATTCAGTCAGTTTTGGATTTGGCTGTTGTTGGGGTTAGAATTGAGGCTGGACATGATAGAAATCGTTTAAAATCTTTTTTGGTAGCTGCAAAAAGTTGTAATAAAAATGGAAAGGAAGTTACTACGAGTGATGGAAAATTCAAATTTAAAATGGTATGAAAATTAAATTTAAAAATGGTCATGACAAAATGGTCAATTAAATAAAGACAACTGGAAAATCCCTTTTTTTGATTTTTCATCTCCTATTTTGGGAGGAGGGAAGCGGAGGGGTTTTAAACGCCCCTTGCTTATTTGGATATTATCAAAAAATAAAAGTCCGCAAAATCTTGTCCGCAAAAATTTTTGCGGACAAAAATTAGAAAATGTTTTTGACCATTTTTAATTTTCTTAAAAATTTAAAAATGTTCAAAACTTCAAAATGTCATTTTTTATTTATTTTTAGATTGCTGGTATCACTTCTAGACTTAAAGCTTTAGACTTTCAACGTCTTCGTTCAACCATTGGTAATACTTCTGAATTATTATTTAAAAGGCCAGAATGGATAGAAGAATTTGATGATACTTCAAAAAATGCAGACTGTTATCGTTTTGTTTTCTATGAAAAAATACAGGTTTTTAATTAAAAATTAGAAACTGAAAAGAAAATTAGAAACTGAAAAGAAAAAAAATAGTCCGCAAAATATTTGCGGACTCGTTTTGTCCGCAAAATATTTGCGGACAAACATTTTGTCCGCAAAAGTTTTTTGCGGACAGAATTTATTAAAAATGCCTTTAAAATTTAAAGTTTCCTTTCATTATTTTTTTATTTAAAAAAGATTGTAGAAGTTAGAGCATCTGGTTTAATTAACGGAAAACTTCAATTTCTTGCAATTGTTGGTGTTAGACATGACAAAATAGTTGGAATATTTTTTATTTGTTTTTAATTTTTTAAATTAAATTTTAGTTTGAAGAAGTCGACTCAGTTGTAGATGTTGCAAATTTTGATGAAGTAAGAAATTATTTTTTTCTTATTTTTAATTATAAAAATGTTTACCTATTTTTGCGGACAAAACTCCGGCCGCAATTATTGTCAGCACAAATTCGCTGACAAAAGTTGCGGATTTAAAAAATCCTCTTCCATAGAGGAAATAATTCTTCTCCCATAAAAAAACTTCTTACAATAGTAAGAATAAATCTAAATATAAAAAATCTGCAAATTTTGTCCGCAAGTTTCGTCCGCGAAAATTCTTGCGGACAAAAAATTTTTGAAAAATCTCCTTAAAAATTGAATTTTTTAAATCAGCGCCTCCGTTCTCGTCCAATGATAGACGAAGATGATGAGCATGAAGCAAATATAATATTAAATAAAAAAAGAAAAATGCAACAAATAAATTTAAAACCCTCAATTAAATTGATAAATTCAAGAGAAACAGAAAAATTAAGAAGTGAAGAATTTCAAATTTGTAATGAATTGGAAAATGTAAAAGTTTGTGTTTTAAATGCTAATGAAGGGTATACTACACAACAATTACAAAAAATATTAATTGAATTGGGGGCTATTCCTATTGCTAATCCAAGTAAGTTAGAGGGGAAAATTGAGAGGGGTTTTTAATTAAAAAGGAATCCGCAAAATTTTTTGCGGACAATATTTGCGGATTTTTTAGCTAAAAAGAATTATGCAGAATTTTTTATTTTAATTTGGGGAATTTTTGTATTAAATCAATTTGTTCAACTTTAAGTCAATAAAAAAATCCGCAAAATTTGTCCGCAAAAATTTTCAAATTTATTAAATAATTAATTTTAATTTTATTTAAGCAAATAACACAGCATTTTTGGTGGCAATGAATCCGAAAACCTTAAATTGTATAGCTCATGTTAAAGCAGATAAATGCCAGTAAATCATTTTTTAAATTTTGAATTTAATATATTTTATATTTTTTAGTATTGTGCATGGAAATTGGTTATTAAAATGTAAAGAAGAAAACAAATTGATACCTTGGTATTTATTTTTTTAAAATTATTTTTATTTTTAAAAATAGGCACTTGTAGAAGTTTAAGTTTTGCGGACAAAATTTGCAGATTTTTTTAAATTTATTTTTTTCCATTGAAAATGTGAATGACTCTTAAAGCTTTAAATATGTATCAATAAAAAATCCGCAAGTTTTGTCCGCAAAAAAATTTAAAATTAAAAATGTCCGCAAATGTTGTCCACAAAATTTCCTTTTAAATTAACTTCTTTTTTAAAGGAAATCTTCCGATTTAATCCATTTTTGTTCAACTTCCAAATTTAATTTGTTTTCAATTTCTGAAGAAAACTTAATTGAAATGAGACAAAATAATAATAAAATACTAAATGAAGAACAACAACAACAACAAAAATTAAATTTAAAAAGAAAACAAATAGAAGTTTGTTCTTCAAATATTGCTCCTAAAAGAAATGTGATAGGAAAAGAATTTGAAGAGGAAAGGGATGAAACTTTAGAAAATGAACGATTTTATGAACAATTAGCTAGGGAAGCTGAAGAAGTTGAAATTGAGGTTTTTGTTTAAAAATAAATTAGTTAAAAAGTTAAATTGATCATAAAGACCGTCTTGAGACTAAAAAAGTTGTACCCTTATAATGAGGTCCATTTTTAATTGGGAGGGAGAGGGGTATTGTAAGTAGAGTGAGCTCCTCTACCCAATTTAACGAATGCCAGCAAATTGAATTAGTGAATGTCCGCAAAATTTATTTTTTATAAAAAAAATTAATTTACCTATTAATTATTTGAGATAAGAAATCAAGTAGAAAATCAATTAAATAGTGACGATTGTCAGCCTGTTGAAAAAGGGAATTTATTTGCTGATTATGTCTTTTATTTACACAACTCCTTGCAACCACAACAAAGATTAAAAATTCAAAAATTAATTGAAATGCAAAATGGAAGGATTGTAAATGAATTGGATAGTTCAATAACACATGTAGTTTTGGATAAATTGTAAGGAAAATATAAAAAAAAGAATCTTTGGTTTTGGCATAGTTTATTGAGTCCAATGAAAGCCTTGTGATTTCAATGAAAATTTTTAAGGACAAGAAAGGGGTTTTTAAGGACACCCTCTAAAACATCCACTGGACTCATAATTTTTTATTGGCTTATTTTATAGCTTATTAAACTTTCATAAACTAAACTAGAGCCGAATTTACTTATAAAAAAGTATGTTAGAGTGGATTTTTGGGGGTGTTTAAGTACATATTATCTTATTTTCCTTAATTTTTTTTGGTGTTTGGAATTGTCCAAATTTCCCAAAATTTAAATAATGAATTGTTTTCTAAAAAATGAAAGTCAAGAAAATTCACTGGAAAAGATTTCTTAAACCATAAAAATTTTTTTAAAAATATTTTTATTTTAAAGAAAGCGTGGGGAAGAACAATCTTTATTTGATTTTAATGAAAAACAACAATTTTTATGTAACTTTGTAAGTATTCAATGGATTAATAAAGCTATAGAAGAAGAGGATCGTTATCGTTTACCTGAAAGTATTCAGGAATTTATTGAATGATAAAAAGAAAATTTTTGAAGAGATTTCTTTGAAATTACCCATATTTATTTTTTGACTTACCTTAATTTATTTTGACAGATTTTTATGTGATGACTCTCAGAAAATTAAATAAAAATTTTATTTTTAATTAAATAGAGTGTTAATGAATAATCTTAAAATTTGAAAATCTAAAGATTCGGCCTGGACAGGGATCCAGAAATTGTTGGAATTAATCCCACTTGAGCCCGTTAGAAAATTTTTAAGCAGACCCCATTTCAAGATCTCGGGATTACGATTTTACCGACTTACATATTATTTAAAATAACTGAAGAGCTACTGCCTGTAGTAATCGGGCCGTACCCTACTATGGCCGTATTTTTCGGTATTTATCGATAGTACGGTACGGAATACGGCATGGTACGAAATTCCGATCACTAGTTGCTTTGCACTCTGCAGGCCCTTTTCGGCAGTGAATATTTAAAAATAAATAAAAAAATAAAAGGTTGGCAAAATGTTTATTTAGACATGTTATCCGGCAATCCCGGAGAATTGGGGTTTCTTCGAATAAAAATTTTAAAAATAAGAAAAAGTATTTTTCTATGGTAAAAAAATATGCTGATTATGAATCTGAGCTCGGATTTTGAAAAAGTCGAATCCCGGACCCGAATTCGGAATTTGACCCCGGACTTTGTCGGACATAGTACAAAAATGTCAGTCTTTCATATGGAGATAGAACTCATCGAGCTGCATCAAATGACACCAAAATCGATAAAATCCGACGTAATTGGACCGAGATACAGACCCCGGAATATTGAAAAACCATAAGGGTGATTTTTTTGGAGTAAAAAAAGTTTAAGCAAATGATCACTCATTCGAAAGAGCTCGTCGAGCTGAGTCGAATGACATAAAAATTACAGTGATTCATCAAGTTTTGACAAAGTTATGACATAAGTCGCCGACTCCTACAGTACTCCCATAGGTATACTTTATGTCATAACTTTGTCAAATCTGGTCTAATCACGTTGATTTTTGTATCATTCGATGCAGCTCGATGAGCTCTTTCGAACGAGCTATCATATGTATATTCGAAATTCGGGTTCAGGGTTCGAAATTTGGTTCGGGTCCGGGATTCGACTTTTTCAAAATCCGAGTTCAGATTCGTAATCAGCATATTTTTTTACCCTAGAAAAAACCTTTTTATTAGTTTTAAACTTTTTTTTCGAAGAAACCCCAATTCTCCGGGATTGCCTGTTATCCAATTTAGACAAATTATCCAAGTTTTTCAATTAGAAACTTTTTTTATAATTATTGATTTTCTTGTCAATTGATATTTTCTCTCTTTTCCTGAAAGTCACTTTTCCAGTTTCCTATTGATATTCAAATTTGTTTACCTTTTTATTTTCTTTTTATTCTTTCAATTTTTTACTTTATTTTCTTATTTTCTTTAATAACAACAAAATTCTCATCTCACAACAAGTCATCATCTGCTTGAAGACAACGAGTGGAATATGCCAACAACGAATGGTCCAACAACACAATTAATGCTACTTGCTGTTGACTGCGTGGAGGACGTTGGCAAAGGCTGGTTTTAAAATTTTTATTTCTGACCAGGGTTGCTCAAAGTGGGTTAAGCGCTTAACACGATTTTTCTTTTTGATCTTGGTTAAATAAATCTTTTAAGTTAAATTTTAGTAGGAATTACCAAAGTTTTGAGCAACGCTGGTTTTTAGATATCCTTCCTTTAATATTTCTAATTTGTTATTATGTGATTATCTCATCGAGGAAATTTTGTCAAAAATATACCCCCAAGAACTAGTTCCAGAACTAGTTCCAAAGCTAGTTCCAGGCATTTACTAGTTCCGTAGTTCTAGTTCCAAACTAGTTCCAGATAATCGTTAGTTCCGTAGTTCTAGTTCCGGAACTGGAACTAGAACTAATTAATTCCGGAACTGGAACTGGAACTTTGACATCACTGGTTAGTAACCTCATGGAACACTTATTGTTAGTAGTAAAATTTTCATTAATATTTTTGGGGAGGTTTGAGGGGTGTGTGTTAATTTATTATTACTATTTTTGATTTTTAATCATTACATATAATTAAAATTTATGCCAAAAAATATAATTATTAAAAAACAAAAATAGGGTCTTCTTAAAGGTAAATGTCCAGTTGGCGGTCTACATGTCCGCAAAGAGAATCTGCTCTTTTCTTTCCTTTTCTTGCATTTTTTGCGTTGGGAGACGTGCTCCGCTCATTTTTCCTTTTCTGGCATTTTTCTTCTCAATACAGTATGTTTTCCTTTTCCTAATTGTAAAATAAAAATAATACCTCTAATTTAAAAAAATTAATTTACCAATTATAAATTTTGGATTATAAAAATTACAATGAAAAATTCTTAAATTTAGGATTATTGATATCTTATAACAACTTTGTATGCTTTCTGATAAGCCAAAAATAATGATTTAAAAAATTAAAATAATGATTTAAAAAATTATTTTACAAATTAGGGTTGTTGGCAACCGGTTTTAAAGCCGGAATTTTTGAAATTTTTTCCAAAAAATTAACTGATTTTAGAAAATTTTAAAAACCGAAACTGATAACTCGAAAATCAACGTAGAAAAGGTGTAAAAATTCTTTAAATATTGTTTTGAAATTTTTTAAATCATTATTTTTGGCTTATCAGAAAGCATACAAAGTTGTTATAAGATATCAATAATCCTAAATTTAAGAATTTTTCATTGTAATTTTTATAATCCAAAATTTATAATTGGTAAATTAATTTTTTTAAATTAGAGGTATTATTTTTATTTTACAATTAGGAAAAGGAAAACATACTGTATTGAGAAGAAAAATGCCAGAAAAGGAAAAATGAGCGGAGCACGTCTCCCAACGCAAAAAATGCAAGAAAAGGAAAGAAAAGAGCAGATTCTCTTTGCGGACATGTAGACCGCCAACTGGACATTTACCCTTCTTAAAAAAGTTGAAATATTTCATTTAATTAATGGGAGGGGGGAGGTTGTTAGACTTGATGTCTGATAATAATGAAAGTATTTTTTGTATATAAGAAAATTAACGCCAAGGCCGTCTATTAGTACCAGAATTTATTGCAGATTTCGTCTCCAAATTATTTTTATTTTTTTGATGTTTCCTCCAATCAGGCAAAACCAATTTCTTCTCTAAAGTTCGTCTTCTACCTTTTGCAGAATTTAAGGGAGGAGTGAGCAAAGTAGAACGTGAGTGTGTACTGTGAATGACTGTTGGGCTTGTGGGAATCCATGGAGTTATAGACCTTTCACTGTTGGCACGTCGTTCAAAGTCGAGAATTCGAAAGGCAAGGCTTCGTCTATATTTGCGTTCTTCCTCCTATTTTAAATTTTGGGAAAGTTTAAACGGCCCTCAGAATTTCCTAATTTTCACCTTCATATTCATCCACAAGGAATAAGCTTCTTCAGCAATTTTTGCTTTAGCTTTACTCTGTTCACGACGTTCCTCCTCTTTACGCTCCTCTTCCTCCTGTTTTAGAGCATGTTGAGTTCTCATACGTTCATCAGCCATTTGAATCCTTTAAATATTTTTTTAAACCAAAAATACAGTTGGCATCACTATAAGATACCTTCAGGGCTAAAAATCTCATGGGTGGTATCTAACAAGAATGGGCCGGCTTGAGAAAAAAGTCGAGTCTGGTTTCGGATTTCAAATTTTTTTCGGATCAAATTTCTGATTTCGAGTCGGAAAAGACCGAGTATCAGGTTTCGGGTAACCCGGTCCATTCCCGGTATTTAATTCCAAGAGTATCTTGGAGGTATCTTGTAATGAGGTATATCTTCCTACCAAGCATGAAAAGCAGCTTCAGCCTCCCTTCTTTTTTGCTCCTTATTTTGTTCAGTTTGTTTGGCAATACGTTGTTCAACACTTTTGGCCCGTTCCTTTTGTGTTTTTCTTCTTATTTCGTCCTGTTTTTTCCAAGATTGGAATGTTTGTTGTGCTTCTAGTTGTTTTTGTTCTCTTAAAAATTTTTTAGTTTCTCTTATTCAAAAACTCTAAAAACTTTTTTTGTTTTTCTTCTTCTGCCTTTTTCTGTGCTTTTAATCGTTCTGCTGCCTTTTTCTCAGCCAAACGTCTTTCCAATTCTGACTTCCAACGATTAAAATTTTTTTCAGCAAGTTCTCGTTTTTCTGAACGTTGTTGTTCTAGAGCGGTTTTTTCAGCTTCTTCACGTTCTCTCTTAGCTTTTTGTTCGTTTTGTTTTTGTTTTACCCAGGCCTGGAAATGTTCACTAGAATGTTTTAAATAAATTATAATAAATTACTCGGTATGTCCCAGAATCTTCCTCCTTTCGAGGGGCTACAAGACTTGAACTTCGTTTTCTATAAGCATGTGTATTGGCCTTTTGTCTTCCACTGGCTGGGCCCTATTTCAATTGTCCACAGATTCTGCGGTCTGCGTTCTGTGCACAGACCACAGAACCACAGAAATTCTGTTTCAATTATTCCACAGATTCTGCGGAAAAAGAAGTCCGCAGATTCTGTGGAAACATGCACAGAATCTGTGGAAACATCCACAGATTCTGCAAAACATCCAAAAACATGCAAAAACCACAGAATTCTATTTCAATTATTTTTCTGTGCACAGAAAAAAATCCACAGATCTGTGGCTTTTTTAGTCGATTCTGTGCATTTCTGTTTCAATTATTTCTGTGGTCTGCGGAAAATACACAGAATTCTTTAAAAAATCCACCCTAAAATTTTTTCTGCGAACTTTCTGTGGAAAAACTTTAACAATTTTTTTCTAGGCCTAGGCTTAACCAAATTTCAAAATTTTTAAAGATTATTAAAGTTTGAATCATTCTCTATTTTTTGATATAAAAATTATAATTTTATTACCTAAAATTATTGCTTAAAATTAATTTTGAAAAAGGTACATCTTTTTTACGCAGTTTTTGTTATATTCAAGCAATAAAAAAATAAAAAACGTGAGAGATTCTGAAATTTAGAGCTATGATGTTCTAATCATCATGGATATCTCTAATGAGGGGATGTTTACCAGGATCTATAGAATATATCTGTATAGCGTATACTGGGATATCTCCCATGATCTCTCATTGATATCCGTCATAATCTCTCCTCCTATTTAATGATAGATTTCCTCCTTAATCACTCCAATATATTAAACCTCAAAATCAATGGATATCCCACTTAATCACTCCTCTACGATTTTAAAGTTCCGATTTGACTATAATTTTGGATTCCAGGCATTTTCGATTTCCAGGAACCTCAATTTCTGACTAAACAATCCCCAAACATTTCCCTCCCTTGCAACAACTTCTATCGTAGTTTGAAAAAGCCACATGTCGGATCGACATCTCCTGATTTTTCCGATCCGAACCCTGCTTTAGGACATTAATTTAATTGGAGATTTAAGGATATTGGATGAACAAGAAAATTAAGCGGTATATCAGCGGTTTTAAAGTGATATCAAAGAGATTTAAAGGGATGTTATGTGATTTGGAGGGAAAATTTTTAAATCTTTACAATATTTTTCAGTTTAATTTAAGAATTTTTAAAGTTTTACTTCAAAAAATCAGGTACCATTAATACTGCGGTAGTACCGAACTGTCCAAACCATTTTTCGTTTCAATAAAACTGTTATTTTCAAAAACGCGGAAATAAAAAATTTGAATTTAGAAGAAAAAATACACAGAACCACAGAAAAATAATTGAAATACAAATTCTGTGGATCAGTGGAAAAAATCCACAGATTTTTATATTTTCCACAGAAATTTTCATCCACAGAATCTGCGGAATGTTTCCACAGAATCATTGGATGTTTCCGCAGAATCTGCGGGCACCACAGATTCTGTGCACACAGAATTTAATTGAAACAGAATTTCCACAGAATCTGTGTTCTGTGCACAGAATGCAGAATCTGTGGACAATTGAAATAGGCCCCTGATAGAAGGCAAAATCTAAATTTATTAGATACTGTTAAATTGAAGCTCTGGGGTTTCTATATTTATATATTAAAAGGGGAAGGGGGTAATTGATGTGGGTCTTTTTGCTGGACTTGTACGAAATTAAATTTTTCCAAAAATTAAAATTTTTTTTATTGCCTTTCACTGCTCGATCCAAAACCTAAGGGAACTTTTTGTTGAATAATGCTTTCTTCTTCTGATTTTTGTTGTTGCCTCTGTTGAGAAGCTCGACGTTGTCGTTGATGGAATTCATCAGTTATTTTTGAATTTTGTCCATTTAATTGTTCTCTTTCGTTTGAATTAGTTGAAGATGTTCCAGAATTTTTTCTGGATTTATTAACAGATTTATTATTCTCGTCTTCTCTATAGTTTAATTGTTGTTGAAGTTGTTGAGCCTTCAAAAAAAATTTTTTTTAATTTTTGAGTAAATTCCAAAAATATTTTTCTATACCTCAGCTTCAATCTCTTGTGATGATTTGGACGTCGATAAATTTTGTGGAGGTTGAGATAGGGACAAATTGGAAGAGTTAGAGGAGGCAGAAGACTTCAAAACAATTTCATTTTTACTAGTGTTTCCCTCAAATTTATTTTTTACTAATTGCAATTGTTTCTCAAAGCTTTGCTCTGATGAATTTTTTCTTGTACTCGAAGGATGTGAATTTTGGCCTTTAGAGAAAATTTATTAAATTTTTTAAGTAAATTAAAAATCTGCCTTGAGTATTAATTTTCTCCTTTCTTTCTCCACTACTATTAGTTGAATTACTTCCAACTCTGGAGGGCACTTTTCTGTTGCTTCCACTAATATTTTTAACAATTTTTTCGTTGTTGTTGTTTTCGCTTGATCTACGGCTTTTTAAACTGCCTGTAGGGATTATTGGAGGTAATGGGGCTTTGTTATTCGTCTTTACTTCGGTGTTAATAATATTTGAGCGAATGGATTCGTGTAAACTTCTGGTACGTAAAATAGCTAAATCCCTTCTGAAATGAAAGATTAATTAATTCATAAGCCCCCCAAAAGACTTACAAACGCTTCGTAAAGTCGTCGACCTCTTTTCCCTTTTTCCCCTTTATTTCTTCGTCTTCCGTTTCTTCCTTTTCTTCCTTTTTATCAGGCTCATCATCAGACTCATCAAATTGTTCTGAACTATACCTCTCAGGATCGCTTAATTCTGGATATCCATTTTGCCTTTTTGTAGAAGACGAGGCTGAGATATTGCCAGAACGGTTAATTGATGAAGCTGGAGGCGTTCCTGAAGCTTTGGGACGCTGCTTAGTGTAAAATGAATTTGAAGAGGATGAAGTAGGAATGACGAATTCACTGTTACGACTGGATTGATCACGAGTCCAAACATCCACAACGGGTGGTTGTCTGCCTTAAGGGGAAAATTTTTCCTTTGATGGATTTTAAAATTTAAGAAACCATTTGTGTTTGGCACAAATCTTTGTTTCGTAATATTATTTTCCTCTTCAGCAGGAGTTGTTGTCGTTGTTGATTGACTCCCAGGGCGTCCTCCTCTCCTCGTCCCCGGACGTTCCATTTCTTCACTGCTAGGTTTTGACAGAGTTAACTGATTTTGTAAATAAATTTTTGGTTGTTGAGGGGTAACAGTAGAAGATGAACCGCTACGAGATACATTCGTGTACATTATGAGCAAATTTTTTTTTGTAAAGATGACTTAATTTTCTTAGTTTTTTTTTTGCTTAATAATGAACTGAAGAAAATCTTTTTTTGATGCAAATTATTATCCTTTTTAGGCGTTAGTAGGTCAAATAAAAATACTAAAAATGTCCTTTACTCAGCACAGGTGTTTCCTAGCAACGGGATGCTGTACTAAAAAAATTTAAAAATAGGTGTTGCAATTTGGAATAAAAAATAATTTTTGTCTGAAGATTTAGAAAAAATATAATAATATATAATTTATTCGACTATTATAACACAAATAAAATTTGAGCATGATAAATTAAATAGATGATAAGCATGTTTGTGGGAAAAATTTGTGCGATTTCATTTGTTTAGGTTACAACATGTTTGGTAAATGAAAGATTTTGAAATTTGTGCAAACTAAACAAATGAATACAACAATTTTGTGGGCTAAAAACATCTAAAACATTGAAAAACATTCTCATATTAAGTTTCAAATAATTGTAAAACAAGTTTTAAATAATTACAAAACAAGTTTTAAAGTTGTTTTCAAACTTTGTAAACAAGTTGTGTTGTGAAAACTTTATTTTATTAAAAAAACAAGTTGGAAAACATGTTTGAAAACAAGTTGGAAAACAAGTTGGGAAACAAATACTATGGGAAAAGAAATATTTAAGTAATTCAAACACGTTTTTCTTGTATTTTAACGATCACAACATGTTTTTGTTATGTTCTAAAAATTAAAAAAACATTAAACATGTTGTGTTTATTTAATTACCACAAGGCTGATTTTTTGTTCTCATTAATATTTATGTTTGTGTTAACGAAAAGTTTAATAATTCCAGAAGCCTCCCCACAACGATTTCTTTAAATTTAAAAATTAATTTTTAAAAATTTATTTATTTTTACATTGCAACAATTTTATATTGACTAGCATCATTAATTTGTAAATCATAAATTCGCAAAGATACGCATTGTCCGTTATCTTTATTACTGGCCTTTAAAATTAAATTTTTTTTCTTTTTTCCCCAATTTTTTCTAAAAATATTTTTAATTTTTAAGGCAAAATTAAAAAAAATATTTTAAAATTGGGGTAATTTAAAAAGCCACTAACTTCATATTTTTTAGTGTTAGGGATTATGTGTTGTTCAGAATCTTGCACAATCCTATACCAACTAAAAATTAAAAAATTATTTTTTTGACTAAATGTTTTTACCATATCACAGTTTCATCCCCAAAAACACTAAAAATTAAATCAACAAAACGTTGTCCTTGTTTTGCATAAATAGTTGATTGTTTAGCGGAAACAGTAGGGGGTTTTTGTTCAATATTGTAGTTAAAATTATTTTTTTCTTTAAAAGAAAAGATTTTTTTAAATTTTTTTAAAATTGTTAAAAATGTTTTTTGTAATTTTATTTTTTTAAAATATTTTTTAAATTTATTTACCATTAATTTTTAACTCAAATATACACTTTGCAGTACCAACTAAAATTTAAAAATATTTTAAAAAATTAGTTTTTTAATTTAAAAATAATAACATTTATTTTCTGCCAAGCATTTGTAATCCCCTGTATCTGTAGGAAACGCATCAAAAATTGTCAGTCGAGAATCCTTCCCTACACGATCTAGAAGAAATTTTTTTTTAATTTTTAAAATTAAAAATTTAATTTCCAACCAATACGATAAGCATTTAAATGGTCATTAGTTATTTCGACACGGTTTGGTGTAAACCATTTAATTGTTATTGGTTCTGTGCCTAAAATAACATTCTATTTATTTGAATAAAAGCTGAATTTTCAAGCTTAAGTTTATTTAATTCTGAATTCAAGTTTATTTGCAATCTTAAGTTTATTTATTCTGATTTTATTTTCTCAAGTTTACCATTTTTTTTCTTTTGTTTTTAAGATTAAACTTAAATTTAATTCTGATTTTGCTTTAATTCTGTTTTTAAGATTAAACTTAAATTTAATTCTGATTTTGCTTTAATTCTGTTTTTAAGATTAAACTTAAATTTTATTCTGATTTTACTTTAATTCTGATTTTATTTTTCAGAAATACCTTCTATAATCTCAGCAAGTAATATTATTTCTCTTTGACTAATTCCATTATCTCCAATTTCAATTTGGTGTCGTAAACGTACTTTAGATTCAATAAACTAATTAAAAAATATTTTTTAATATTTTATTAATTTCTAAATATTTACTTTAGGAGAAAGTAAATCATCCTCTCGAATTGCTTTATTAACTAACAAATTCATTTCCGAACGAATTGTTCCGGAAGAATTTTCAGCAATAAACTTAAGTTTAAGAAAATTAATTAATCATGTTTTTATTAATTTTACGATGTAACGTCCAGAATCGAGTGACGAAATTTTTGAGATTAATAATTTGGATAGTTCACCATCAAATGATAAAACTATTTTTAAAAATTGTTTATCAAATTAATTTTAATAAAGAATGAAACTACCTATATGATCAGAATTTGGGGTGATCCTTGTGTTATTGTGAAGCCAACAAATTGAAGGGATTGGATTGCCTATTTATTACTTTAATAATTCTGAAACCTAATATATTCTCTCTTTATAAGATACTCGATATATCTCAATTTAAGATTTTTTTTTGTAAATTTGGTTAGCCATCGGATTATGAGGGGAGGGGAAGTAGCTAAAGGGAACTAATTCGAAAATAAAATTTGAAAATATGGGTGGATATTTTAGGATACGAAATTTTCAATCCCGAAGTGTATCTTATATTGAGACCCGACTGTATTTTTAATTAAAAATTCATTCTAACGGACCTAATACTCGACATTCCGCAATAAATTGATCGCCAGAAATTGCCTGAAAATTCAGAAAAAATAAATCACTAAACAATTTCAATTATATACTTTAGCTTCACTAGGTAAAGCTTCAATAATTTCCGGTGCCATTTGCTCAGAACGCGATTTTTGGCGTTTCATTCTTTGATTAATAGGCGATTCAGTTTTAATTAAACTTTCAGTGCTAGATTTTGGTGTAGCAAGTTCAACAACTTGCACATTTGCTGAACAGAAGGCTACACCCTCTGTATTTTTTGCTGTACAATTGTATAAACCACTATCAAAGATTGATAATGAATGGACTTCCAAAAGAAAAAAATCGCTGAAAATTTTGGAATTTAGGGAAACAGCAAAAAGAACTTGCCCGTCCTGAAAAATAGAATATTTGCTTCCTGTTTCGAGTCTAATACCATTTCTATCCCAATAAACTTGGGGTAAAGGATTTGCACTAATTGCTGCTTTCAGTCTTTTTTAAGAGAAACAATTTAAAAAAATATTTTTCTAAAAACACCTTAAACTCTTTCCTTCCGCAACTTGTTTATGAGGTTTTGGTCGTGCAAAAAATCTTGGTCTGCATATTCTAAAATAATTTAGATAAGGGGAAATAATAAAAAAATGTTAGTAAAACAACTTTGAATTTCGTTGCTCTATTGCTGCATTAATTATTTGAAGCGCTTAATAATTAAACAAAATTAATAAAATTTTTAATAAATAAAAATTCGTTACTCTTTTTCTGCCTTTGTTCTTTATTTGTATTATCATCAAGATCTTCCTCATTTAACTCAAACTTTTGTTGCTCTCCATCAGCCCCTATTTGTAAAAGGATATCGTTTGTATTTATTCCATTTGTTGTTGATGTTGTTTCTGTTGAAAGTTGATTTTGTTGTTGTAGAACTTGAGAGAGAAAAATTATTAAAAAATGATTTTAAAAATTTTACTACCATCCTCATCTATATTAATGCTTGCAAGTGTTGTTGATGATATTGTTGATGCTGTCGACATTTTTGCATTTTTTCGTCGCATTCTTTAAAGATTAAAATTAATTTAATCTTGAGAGAATAAGTAAATTAAAAATCAAAGAGACAGACTATTAAACAAGGAATCTAAGCAGAAATGAGAGTTTAAGGGAAAAAATAAGGTCAAGTTTATGGACTAGAAATTAAATAAATTTATTTTACTTAAAGAATGAATTGACGAAAGAATTCGTTGCAGGTGGCTTAATTATAAATTGCCAGCTGTTTAATAAAAAGGAAATAGTTTAGGAAAGAAATTAAACGTAAGGAAGTAGAAATAAAAACAAGGGTAAACAACCTGCAATAAATAGCAAGTAATCTGAGCTTAAAATGCTTAAAACTCATAAATATATGTTCATCTATTTTTAACTTTGTTTTAAAATTACGAACATTTTTGTTTGAAACTTTGAATTTGAATCTACTGTGTTTGTGTTGTTGGTTGTGTTGTTGTTATCTGTGTTGTTGATATCGTCATTGTAGTTTTTGTTGTCATTGTTTTTGTTTTCATTGATGTTTTTGTTGTTGTTTTCATTGATGTTTTTGTCGTCGTCGATGTCTTTTTCGTCTTTGGTGTTTTTGTTTTCATTGATGTTTTTGTCGTCATTGATGTTGTTGTTTTCATTTATGTTCTTGTCGTCATCGATATTGTTACTGATGTTTTTATAATTATTGTTGTTTTTGTTTTCATTGATGTTTTTGTTGTTGTTTTTGTTTTCATATATGTTTTTGTTGTCGCCGTTGTTTGTGTTGCCGTTATTGTTTTCAATGATGTTTTTGTCGGCGTCAATGTTGTTGTTGTTTTTATTGATGTTTTTGTCGTCGTCGATGTTGTTGTTGTTTTCATTTACGTTTTTGTCGTCGTCGATGTTGTTGTTGTTACTGTTGTTTTTGTAATTTTTGTTGTTCTTGTTTTCATTGATGTTTTTGTCGTCATTGATGTTCTTGTTGTTGTTTTCGATTTCATTGATGTTTTTGTCGTCGTCGATGTTGTTGTTACTGATGTTTTTATAATTGTTGTTGTTTTTATTTTCTTTGATGTTTTTGTCGCCGTCGATTTTGTTGTTGTTTTCATTTACGTTTTTGTCGTCGTCGATGTTGTTGTTGTTACTGTTGTTTTTGTAATTTTTGTTGTTCTTGTTTTCATTGATGTTTTTGTCGTCATTGATGTTCTTGTTGTTGTTTTCGATTTCATTGATGTTTTTGTCGTCGTCGATGTTGTTGTTACTGATGTTTTTATAATTGTTGTTGTTTTTATTTTCTTTGATGTTTTTGTCGCCGTCGATTTTGTTGTTGTTTTCATTTACGTTTTTGTCGTCGTCGTTGTTTTCGTTGTTACTGATGTTTTTATAATTATTGTTGTTTTTGTTTTTATTGATGTTTTTGTTGTCGATGTTGTTTGTGTTGTTTTTGTTATTACGGATATTTATGTTTATGTTGTCTTCAGAAATGTTTTTATTATCATTTATGTTTTTGTTGTTTATAATATCTATTTCTACTTTACTATTATTTTTAACTAATTTTGTATTAACTAAACATTCTTTCTCTCCATTCTTTATTAATGTAGTTTCGGGAATTTCATCCCTGCTGCTGTTGTTGATGCAAGAGTTTTCATCTTCTGGAAGCTACAAATTTATATCAATTTAAAAAATCTACATGTTAATCTACTTTAGGGAAAGTTGTTAAACATAAAAATTGTTATTGTAAAAGTAAAATTATTCTCAAGGCATTCTAGTACAAAACAAGTGTTAGTTTTTAAGATAATATTATAATAGGACCTTCTTTTCTGATACACCAAAATTCTTCATTTTATCTTCTAAAGAAAGTTCGGAAACTAAAATTGAGACAGAATCGCTGCCATGTTCATTTTGAATTAGGGCAGTATATGTCCCTAAAAATTAAATATTTTCTTCACTTGAATTATTTTTTACCTTCATGTTCAGGCGGTGTAAATTTCAAAATTTCTAACATAAACTCATTTAATTCCAAATCCTCGTTGTAATTGATATTTAATAGAATAAACTCATCCGCTAAAAATTCCTTCCCGTTTCGAAGCCATTTAAGTTTGGGAAGAGGAAAGCCTGAGAATGATCCACTTAGGCAGATACGTGAGCCTTTGATGGATTCCTTTGAGAAATAAATTTTAAAAAGGTTAGGATATCTTCCAATCTTACAGCATTAGGTTTTGGTTTCTTAACAAATTTTGGTGGTGTTTTTTGTGTTTTTTGTGGCGCTACTTTTCCTACGGGTTTGCGTCCAGTATCGGTTGTTTTCGTTTCAATGCCAGCTTTAGGCAATTCACCTTTTCCCTTAAATTGAAATAATAGTATAGTTTTTTGGTTAATTTTAAATTTTTAAATAAATTTAATAACGTACTCTAACAGACAAATATGCCTGGGTTGAAGGTTTTGACTGTTCTCGGCTACTAAGTTCAAGTTCGAGTTTGTAAAGGCCTTAAAAACATTGTTTAATTTCACAATAAAATTTTAAATTAACCTTCATCTGCCTTTTCAATTTTATTGATAACAAGTTTTGCTTCTCCTTTATTATCTAATAGTGCCTTGTGCTTCAATGTTCGAGCATTTAAAAGTTTTCCATCTTTAAACCTTTAAAAGAGTAACAAGTTTAAACGGGAGTAAGAACGTTAAAAATTACGATTGAACTTAAAAGATCAGAATTAATGATCAGAAGTGAACTATAACTTGAAAAAAATAGAGTCAGAATTAAGCTTAAACTTGGAAATAATTAATGAGCAGAATTAATTAAATCAGATTTAAGATTGAACTTGAAAATAAATTAATAATCAGAACTAAGTTTTAACTTGGAAACAGATAAAGAATAATCAGAATTAATAATCAGAATTAAGCTTGAACTTAAAAATAGATAGGCATCAGAATTATTTAATCAGAATCAAGATTGAACTTGAAAACGAATTAAAAATCAGAATTAATTAATAATCAGAATTAAACTATTATTAAGATCAATCTTAAAAATTAATTATGAAACTTAAGTTTACCATTTTGCACGCATTAATGTATCACGTGTGCTTTTCTCCAACTTTGCCACCATTTCAACGCGAAGTTGCCCTTCGACTGCCTCAATATCATTAAGTGGGACCTCGAATCCGACAGAAGAATCCTTTTTAATTTCTACTTTTTCTTCGTCTTGTTTTTTACTTTTTTCTACTTTAATTTCATCTTCTTTCTTCACTGATTTTACGTCCTCCTTTTCCTCCTTTATTTTTTCCTTTTCTAATGATACAGAAGATTTATCTTCAATATTTTCCTCAATTTTATTTGTATCAACTTCTTTTTCGGTTTTTGTCTTCTTCTTTAGAATTTTGGTTCTTATAGGCTTTACTTCACTTTTGTTAGTTTCTTCCACTTTTTCTTCAATTTTTTCTTCATTCTCCTCATTACTTAGATTTTTACCCTCTTCTTTCTCCTCCTCTTTCAACTCTATTTCCCCTTCCAATTTATCAAATTCTCCTCTAAATTCATAGCTAGATGATGATGAAGGCCTTTGTTCTTCCATTTCCTCTTTAAATTTTAATTTGTCTTCTTTCCGTTTTTCCTCTCTAGATTTTTTATCTTCTGCAAAACTAACACGTCGGCCACTGCTTCCACCTTCTTTAGATATTGACACCTTTTTTCTCAAACTTTTCATTGGAGAATGGAAACCATCATCGATTTGGATTCCTGTTTTTGAAAAATTTTTTTCAGAATTTTTTTTTGAAACGTTTTTTTTTCTGATTTTTTAGAATAAAAAAAAATTTTCCAGAATTTTTTAGAATTTTTTAAAGATTTTTTGAGAATTTTTTACTTACCAGAATCAAGTAAACTCTGAACAGAAGATGAGGTAGAAGCATCCGAATCTTCTGGATACCGATGTTGTTCCATTCTTCTTTCTAAACCAGACTTGCTGCCCCCTTCATCAAGCACATTTTGCACAGTAATAAACACTTCTTCGCTTTGTGTCCCAGCTTCACTATTCATAACTCCCGGTAATTTAGCCACAATTCTATAAACATAACGTCCAGTTTCATAAATTGAACGGTCAATAAATGTTGTTCTTTCAATATTGGCAACTTCTAACCAGAAATCGGTATCATTACTAGCAGATAAACGTCTCCTTTCAATGCCGTAGAGCATTGCTCTATCAACTTGTTCCCAACTGAGAATAGCTTTTGTTTGAAGACCGTCTGTGCTCACAGTTGGTTTGCTTAAAAACGATTTTTTTGAGTATAGATTGGGTATTAGGGTTGTCGCTTTGGAACCGAAATACCGAGAATTATCCAAAGATTTTCCAAGAACCGACAGCCCTCTTTGATAATATTAGCCTTTACCTTGGTCTCTCCAACGGCGGAAGAGTTTCAGAAATCTTCCTTTGTAAAATCTCAGTGGAAGATAAACGTCTTCTAATACCTTCAATCTTCCTTTCTTCTTCCTCATCATCAGATTGCTCGTGTGGTAAATCAACATCAATAGCTTTACTTGGCTCTGATTCCCCAATTTCATTAAAAGCCAAAACTCTGAAAGCATAACTTTCACCGGGATAAAGCCCTTGAATTGTATAAACATATTCTCCAGTATCCGTTTTTATTCTCTCAGCAGTTTTTCGTTGTAATTGTCTCCATCGTTGCCTCTCCCCAGTTTTTCTTTCGACAATAAAGCTTTCAATAAATTCTTCGCCTTTATAAGACGAATCAGATTCAGCAATATTCCAATAGAGATCAACAGAAGAGGAAGTTATGTTACGGACTCGTAGGTTGATGGGAGCAGAAGGAACGTCCAAAACTTTCAAGTCGATGTAAGAGGAATCTTCTCCAAATTCGTTTGAAGCACGAAGCCATATCTGTATTTGAGGAACAAATTTTGATTTTCAAAAATAATGCTCTCACCCTTCCACTATGCGATCTTTTCAAGCTCCTTATGTTTATTGTATGAACTTCACCACAACCTACACCAGCATTTACCACTACTTGTTTTGCATCATTTATAGGGTTATCATTGAGAAGAATTGAGAGTTTTGGAGTTGGCCAACCCAGAAGATTTGCTGTTACAGTAAACTCATCTCCTCCAATTTTAACTATTCTTTCTTCATGGTGATAACGGCGCAACTAAAAAAGTCATATTTTTGAAGGTAATATTGAGAGAAGGTTTCCGACTAACCTCAATTTTTGGCGAAACTTCAAATCTCAATTTAGCTGGAGCACTCTTTTCGCCCCCTTCCAATGATATACTGTACTCTCCAATATCAGATTCATCAAAATTGTAAATTTCAAGCAGCGCTTTAGTACCCTCAAAGTATGCAAAACACTTTTTACATTGTAGAGGCAATCCATCTTTATACCAAACAACATCCTCTGCACTCTTAGAAAGATCGGCATAAAGTTGGATTTTCTCCCCATAATGGCAAATTATCCTTCCTTGAGGGGAAAACACAATACGAGCTTTTTCGGGTCTAACAACAATTTCTGTTTGAACTTTTTTATCGGAGCCTGTAGCTGTTTCAATTTCACATGTGTATATGCCTGAATCTTCTTTCATTGCCCCATAAAGAATTAAACGTCTCTTATAGCCTTGTTGTTCCAATGAAATTCTATTTGTTGTTTCACCAATATGGCGCTTATTCCTAGTCCAACTAACAGAAGCTTCGGGGTCAGAAACCTCACATTCTAGAACAACATCTTTCCCTTCCGTAGCTGTTATCTTTTCTGCGAAGGAGTTGATGAAGTGAGCTTGAACTTTTCCCATTCGAATAAATGCTTTTGTTTCAATCATTCCATATTCTGAATTTTTTTTAATTTTCAAAAATTAAATTTTAAATTTATAGTATATGTACGTCGGATCTTATTATAAGATACTCCCTTGAGACTGTAAAATCGTAACTTATAATGAGGTGTATCTTAAATAGGATGTATCGCGTAGGTACAGAGATGCCTGTGTTACCAAGAACTCGATACCCAAAACCCGGACTTTTCTCTCTTAATACCCCTAACTGACCCGATCCGGAACCCAACCCGAGACCCTGATACTTTTCTCAACACGTAGCATCCTTGTTAGGTGTTATTAGGGTGTATCTTATAGTTAAGTTCGACTATAATAATCCAACATACCATTACTAATTTGGCATGTATAATATCCTTCATCATTTTCACCCATTCTGTGTATAACCAATTTGCTTGCATAACCTTCATTACTTATAGAAACATTGTCATATTCTGGAGAGGGTACAATCTCTTCACCATTCTTTAACCATACAAAGAGAGGCGCAGGTTCACTAACAGCACAAATTTCTAAACAAACTTCCTCTTTTTTGGGTATAAGGGCATCACGTAAAGTTTTGGTTAATATCGGAACATTGAAACCAGAAATTTTAATTATGTCACTTTCGTCTGAAGCTGAGATATCTTCTTTTTCTGTTTCTCCTGTAGAGCGTAAAACAACGCGAACTTTATAGGGCACTCCCTCCTTTAGTTCATCTTCAACAATTGCAGGTGACTGCTTGTACTGCTCGAGAACTTCATTCCAGAGATATGTTCCCTCAGATCGGTACTATATAAAAATAATATTATATTAAAGCTCAATCTCTCATTATAGGACTCAATCTCTCATTATTGGAGCTAAAAGTCATTCACTAAAATGTGATTAGCCTATGTCTTTCTTAAATTTGTTTGACCACTGATTGGGAGAAGATGCCACAACAATATCTCTTTCCTAAGTCTATTCTTGGAGATATTCCTTAGGCATTCCCTCAACCAGTGACCAAACAAACTGATTTGAATGAATTAATGGGGTATACTATAACGAGGTTTGACTGTAATTTACAAATTGCTTTCTAAATTTACACACTTGAACAACAAAATATTTCGGCCCAGCAATACTTCCAAGCCATTCCGGCATTTCCCAGGAGACGCGAACTCTTGTGCCTCCAAGTATAGTAACTTTGGGGGCTGACATTTGTTGATGTTGAGCTGCATGACTAGCTATAGATTGTTCATCTACTTGAAGAGGTTCAGATATAATATTTGAATCAGAATGTCTATAAATTGAATGAAACTAAGAAAATTCTCTAAGAACAGCTCACAATCCAGCATAATTTTGTGCTTCTACTTTAAAAACACATCCATTCTTGCTTGCATCCAAAAATTCATCAACCCAGAAATTTTCAGTAAAAACTGTAGATTCATTCATTTTTTGCCAATCAGCTCCAATTTTGCAGAAAACATCATAACCAAACAAAGGGCTACCTCCAGTATCCCAACATTCATCCCATTCAAGTCGTACACTTCGTTCATAAGTATGTGAAATGCGGGGAGCTGAGTGCATAACGGGGGCGGAGAAGGGTCTAGAAAATATAGAAATTGAATTGAAAAATACAAGAAATACACTAACGTTCCAGTAGTTATCTGGGCCAATTTGGAGAATTCTCCAACTCCAAATCGGTTAGTTGCAGCAACACGGAATACATAATCCGTGTCATAATCTAGATCTTCAATAAATATTTCTAGTGAATATGCAGAAAGCTGTCCAACACGCTTAAAAAATTATTTTTTTTTGTGAAAATTTTTTTTATTTTTTTTTTATTTTTTTTTGAAATTTTTCTTTAAAAATTAAAAAAAATTTTTTTTCCACCTGCCAAACTCTTCTATTAGTTCCCTTCTTCTCTATAACATAACCAGTTATTCGTTCGCGTTCGTCACTAACACCGGTTGCTAGAGGTGGATTCCATTTTAAGAAGCAATAATCATGCCCAACTTCAGTCACCATCTTTTAATTTTAAAAAATTTCTAAAAATTTTTTAAAAATTTTGTGTACCAGCCCAGAAGGTGCATCAGGTACATCTCTAACATAAACATCATACTCTAACGAATCCTCCCCATATTCGTTAAACAAAACAAGTTTATAAATTCCTCTATCATGTCGGCTTAATTCTCTTCTAGTTACTAGCACACTTTCTTCTAAAATCGTAACAGAAGTCCTCAATTCTGGTGTTAACAATTCATTATTTAAATACAAATCGACTTCAGGTTCTGGTAAAGATTTTAGACGGACTTTAAGTGTTAAATTCTCGTTTGCATCAATTACAATACGTTGTAATCCAATATCGGTAAATTCCATTGAGGGTTTACCGTGTACTTCTAAAATTGTAGAAGACTCAACTTTGTCAGCACTAATAGTGTATCGGCCACCAAGTTTGTAATCTATTTCTCTTACCAGTAGACTACCTATAAAAATAAACTTGTTTTAAAACATTTGTATTTTTTAAGTTTAAACTTGAATATATTCAAGTTTGTAAAACTTTCTTAAATAAACTTGATTATTTGTTTGTAAAGAAACAAACTTGAAAACTTAAGTTTGTTAAATTAACCTTTAAATTTGTTAAGAACAAACTTGAATAAAAAATAAACTTTATTGCTTAAGTTTATAAATGAAAATTCAAGTTTGTAAAACTTGTATAAACTCATTGTAAAACAAGTTTTAGAAAAGCTTCTAAAATTTACAAATTGTAAAAACTTTTTCAATTTAAACTTTTTAACCCAAAAACATTTTACAAATTGTAAATTTATTTAAACATTTCAAAAAACATTTTACAAATGTTCAATAAATTACAATCCTAAACTAAACAACTTACATATGCATCCCTCATTTATAATTTGATAAGTATTATCTGTAAATAATGGCTGTCCATTGTGATACCAACTAATGTTTTTAGCACAATCGTGTGTTAAAATAGCAACAATTGTAGCTGTTGTATCCCCAACATTTGCAATAACTTTTCTTGGTAATTTCTCTGCAAATTCGACAGGAACCTCTTCAACTGTCAATTTGCTTTGATGGGTCTGCCCTTCCAAAGTAATTGAAACTTTTAATCCACTATCTTTTGGAACGACATTTTCAATTGTTAATTGTCTAATATAAGCATAATTTTGAATAGAACATCTTCCATCGTTAAATTCGTTTAATGATTTCCCATTAATTTGCCACTCAACGGTATCACTTTCATTAAATAATTCACATTCAAATACTACTGTATCCCCTCGTGAAGCATATAGTTGAGAATCAGGCAAGGAAACAAAGCCTGAATTTTACAAAATAATGTTTATTTGGCTAATATGCTTCTCTCACCTTTCCTCATTGTACGATGTCGAGTAGCTCTAGGAAGCTCCTCAAATGCTTGCACTTCATCAAGTTGTAATCTTTGCATACGACGTTTATTCAAAAACTCTTCAACATCGTCAAACTCTACTTTTGACTCTTCATACTTGCGTGGAGTCAATTCCCTCGGCTTTTCATCCTCTTCTTCAACAAATTCCCATTCCTCTTCTTCCTCTCCAATAGCTTTTCTTGTTTCTACTTTTAAAGCACCAGCCATAACAAATTGGTCATCAGAAGTCAAAGATTCACGCGCCTTCTGATCATCAGGCAGTTCATCTTTATCAAATGTTTGTTTCTTCATAGTTTTACGTTTCATTGTCATTTTGTCAACATCATCTGCTTCATATTGCATTTTTAGTGCTGCTTCTTCAGCTTTTTCTTTTGCCGATTTTTCTTCAGCTACCTCTTCCTCCTTTTGCTTTTTCACCTTCTCCTCCTCTTCCATCTGTTTTTTCCGCTTCTCCTGTTCTTCCTTCTTAGCAGCTTCTTCAGCTAAAGCTTTAGTCTTAGCTGCTTCCATTTTTCTAACTAATTCTTCTTGTTCTTTCCTAGCATTTTCTTCTTCCTCCTTCCTCTTTTTCAATCTGGATTCCCTTTCTTGATGGAATTTTTCCATTTCTTTTTCTTCATCCTTTGAGGGCCTTTTTTCCTTCTTTTCTTTTTCGACTTCATCAGGACCAACTTCTCTTTGTGGCGTTTTCTTTTTCTCAGCCTCTTTCTTCTTCTTTTCAGCTTCTTCCAAGTCCTTTCGACGTATCTCTTCCATTTCCTTTTTCTTCTTTTCCTCTTCTTTACTTAAAGGCTTTTCTTCCTTTTTCTTTTCTGTAAGACCCAATTTTAGCTGTTTTGCTTCTTCACGCTTCAACCGCATTTCTTCAAGAGCTTTTCGTCTTTCATCTCTGTCATTTGTTAAAGAAGGCTCTTTCGATTCACCTAAAGCTTTCTTCCTTGCAGCTTCAGCCTCTTCATTGGCCTTTTGTTCTGCCAATTTCTTATCTTCCAAGGATTTCTTCCGTTTTTCTTCTTCATCCTGTTTCCTCTTTTGTTCATCATCTATCTTCTTTTGAGCAGATTCCTTTCTCTTCCTTGCCAATTCATCCATTTTTGCCTTAGCTTCATCAGCTTCTGCTTTTGCCTTTTCTTCAGCTTCACGTCGTTTCTTTAAGGCTTCTTCACGTTCCTTCTTTCTCTTCTCATCCTCATCTTTCTTAGAATCATCGAGTTTCTTTGGAGGCTCTTCTTTTACTTCTTTTTTCTTTCCTTCCTCATCCTTCTTCTTAGCCAGTAATTCATCTCTCCTCTTCTTAGCTTCATCTTCCTTCTTTTTCTTCTCTTCATCTTCCTTTAATTTCTTCTCTTCCGCCAGTTTTTTGGCTTTTTCCTTTTCTTCCTCCATCTTTTTCTTCATTAAGGACATTGGTTCTTTTTTAGTTTCGGGTGTCTTTGCTTCCTCTTCTTTTGATTGTTTTGCTGGCATTTCTTCCAACTTTGTCTTCTCTAATTTTTCAAATTGTGTTGGCAAATCTTCCTTAACATCCTTCGGTCTTTCATCTTCCAAAACAAACTTTTTAACACCCGTATCAACTTCCTTTTGTTCTTCTAAAGCTTTCTTCCTTGCAGCTTCAGCTTCTTCATTGGCCTTCTGTTCTGCCAATTTCTTATCTTCCAAGGATTTCTTCCGTTTTTCTTCTTCATCATGCTTCCTCTTTTGTTCATCATCTATCTTCTTTTGAGCAGATTCCTTTCTCTTCCTTGCCAATTCATCCATTTTTGCCTTAGCTTCATCAGCTTCAGCTTTTGCCTTTTCATCAGCTTCACGTCGTTTCTTTAAGGCTTCTTCACGTTCCTTCTTTCTCTTCTCATCCTCATCTTTCTTAGAATCATCGAGTTTCTTTGGAGGCTCTTCTTTTACTTCTTTTTTCTTTCCTTCCTCATCCTTCTTCTTAGCCAGTAATTCATCTCTCCTCTTCTTAGCTTCATCTTCCTTCTTTTTCTTCTCTTCATCTTCCTTTAATTTCTTCTCTTCCGCCAGTTTTTTGGCTTTTTCCTTTTCTTCCTCCATCTTTTTCTTCATTAAGGACATTGGTTCTTTTTTAGTTTCGGGTGTCTTTGCTTCCTCTTCTTTTGATTGTTTTGCTGGCATTTCTTCCAACTTTGTCTTCTCTAATTTTTCAAATTGTGTTGGCAAATCTTCCTTAACATCCTTCGGTCTTTCATCTTCCAAAACAAACTTTTTAACACCCGTATCAACTTCCTTTTGTTCTTCTAAAGCTTTCTTCCTTGCAGCTTCAGCTTCTTCATTGGCCTTCTGTTCTGCCAATTTCTTATCTTCCAAGGATTTCTTCCGTTTTTCTTCTTCATCATGCTTCCTCTTTTGTTCATCATCTATCTTCTTTTGAGCAGATTCCTTTCTCTTCCTTGCCAATTCATCCATTTTTGCCTTAGCTTCATCAGCTTCAGCTTTTGCCTTTTCATCAGCTTCACGTCGTTTCTTCAACGCTTCTTCACGTTCCTTCTTTCTCTTCTCATCCTCATCTTTCTTAGAATCATCGAGTTTCTTTGGAGGCTCTTCTTTTACTTCCTTTTTCTTTCCTTCCTCATCCTTCTTCTTAGCCAATAATTCATCTCTCCTCTTCTTAGCCTCATCTTCCTTCTTTTTCTTCTCTTCATCTTCCTTTAATTTCTTCTCTTCCGCCAGTTTTTTGGCTTTTTCCTTTTCTTCCTCCATCTTTTTCTTCATTAAGGACATTGGTTCTTTTTTAGTTTCGGGTGTCTTTGCTTCCTCTTCTTTTGATTGTTTTGCTGGCATTTCTTCCAACTTTGTCTTCTCTAATTTTTCAAATTGTGTTGGCAAATCTTCCTTAACATCCTTCGGTCTTTCATCTTCCAAAACAAACTTTTTAACACCCGTATCAACTTCCTTTTGTTCTTCTAAAGCTTTCTTCCTTGCAGCTTCAGCCTCTTCATTGGCCTTTTGTTCTGCCAATTTCTTATCTTCCAAGGATTTCTTCCGTTTTTCTTCTTCATCATGCTTCCTCTTTTGTTCATCATCTATCTTCTTTTGAGCAGATTCCTTTCTCTTCCTTGCCAATTCATCCATTTTTGCCTTAGCTTCATCAGCTTCAGCTTTTGCCTTTTCATCAGCTTCACGTCGTTTCTTCAACGCTTCTTCACGTTCCTTCTTTCTCTTCTCATCCTCATCTTTCTTAGAATCATCGAGTTTCTTTGGAGGCTCTTCTTTTACTTCCTTTTTCTTTCCTTCCTCATCCTTCTTCTTAGCCAGTAATTCATCTCTCCTCTTCTTAGCTTCATCTTCCTTCTTTTTCTTCTCTTCATCTTCCTTTAATTTCTTCTCTTCCGCCAGTTTTTTGGCTTTTTCCTTTTCTTCCTCCATCTTTTTCTTCATTAAGGACATTGGTTCTTTTTTAGTCTCGGGTGTCTTTGCTTCCTCTTCTTTTGGTTGTTTTGCTGGGATTTCTTCCAACTTTGTCTTATCTAATTTTTCAAATTGTGTTGGCAAATCTTCCTTAACATCCTTCGGTCTTTCATCTTCCAAAACAAACTTTTTAACACCCGTATCAACTTCCTTTTGTTCTTCTAAAGCTTTCTTCCTTGCAGCTTCAGCCTCTTCATTGGCCTTTTGTTCTGCCAATTTCTTATCTTCCAAGGATTTCTTCCGTTTTTCTTCTTCATCATGCTTCCTCTTTTGTTCATCATCTATCTTCTTTTGAGCAGATTCCTTTCTCTTCCTTGCCAATTCATCCATTTTTGCCTTAGCTTCATCAGCTTCAGCTTTTGCCTTTTCATCAGCTTCACGTCGTTTCTTCAACGCTTCTTCACGTTCCTTCTTTCTCTTCTCATCCTCATCTTTCTTAGAATCATCGAGTTTCTTTGGAGGCTCTTCTTTTACTTCCTTTTTCTTTCCTTCCTCATCCTTCTTCTTAGCCAATAATTCATCTCTCCTCTTCTTAGCCTCATCTTCCTTCTTTTTCTTCTCTTCATCTTCCTTTAATTTCTTCTCTTCCGCCAGTTTTTTGGCTTTTTCCTTTTCTTCCTCCATCTTTTTCTTCATTAAGGACATTGGTTCTTTTTTAGTTTCGGGTGTCTTTGCTTCCTCTTCTTTTGATTGTTTTGCTGGCATTTCTTCCAACTTTGTCTTCTCTAATTTTTCAAATTGTGTTGGCAAATCTTCCTTAACATCCTTCGGTCTTTCATCTTCCAAAACAAACTTTTTAACACCCGTATCAACTTCCTTTTGTTCTTCTAAAGCTTTCTTCCTTGCAGCTTCAGCCTCTTCATTGGCCTTTTGTTCTGCCAATTTCTTATCTTCCAAGGATTTCTTCCGTTTTTCTTCTTCATCATGCTTCCTCTTTTGTTCATCATCTATCTTCTTTTGAGCAGATTCCTTTCTCTTCCTTGCCAATTCATCCATTTTTGCCTTAGCTTCATCAGCTTCAGCTTTTGCCTTTTCATCAGCTTCACGTCGTTTCTTCAACGCTTCTTCACGTTCCTTCTTTCTCTTCTCATCCTCATCTTTCTTAGAATCATCGAGTTTCTTTGGAGGCTCTTCTTTTACTTCCTTTTTCTTTCCTTCCTCATCCTTCTTCTTAGCCAGTAATTCATCTCTCCTCTTCTTAGCTTCATCTTCCTTCTTTTTCTTCTCTTCATCTTCCTTTAATTTCTTCTCTTCCGCCAGTTTTTTGGCTTTTTCCTTTTCTTCCTCCATCTTTTTCTTCATTAAGGACATTGGTTCTTTTTTAGTCTCGGGTGTCTTTGCTTCCTCTTCTTTTGGTTGTTTTGCTGGGATTTCTTCCAACTTTGTCTTATCTAATTTTTCAAATTGTGTTGGCAAATCTTCCTTAACATCCTTCGGTCTTTCATCTTCCAAAACAAACTTTTTAACACCCGTATCAACTTCCTTTTGTTCTTCTAAAGCTTTCTTCCTTGCAGCTTCAGCCTCTTCATTGGCCTTTTGTTCTGCCAATTTCTTATCTTCCAAGGATTTCTTCCGTTTTTCTTCTTCATCATGCTTCCTCTTTTGTTCATCATCTATCTTCTTTTGAGCAGATTCCTTTCTCTTCCTTGCCAATTCATCCATTTTTGCCTTAGCTTCATCAGCTTCAGCTTTTGCCTTTTCATCAGCTTCACGTCGTTTCTTCAACGCTTCTTCACGTTCCTTCTTTCTCTTCTCATCCTCATCTTTCTTAGAATCATCGAGTTTCTTTGGAGGCTCTTCTTTTACTTCCTTTTTCTTTCCTTCCTCATCCTTCTTCTTAGCCAGTAATTCATCTCTCCTCTTCTTAGCTTCATCTTCCTTCTTTTTCTTCTCTTCATCTTCCTTTAATTTCTTCTCTTCCGCCAGTTTTTTGGCTTTTTCCTTTTCTTCCTCCATCTTTTTCTTCATTAAGGACATTGGTTCTTTTTTAGTCTCGGGTGTCTTTGCTTCCTCTTCTTTTGGTTGTTTTGCTGGGATTTCTTCCAACTTTGTCTTATCTAATTTTTCAAATTGTGTTGGCAAATCTTCCAAAACGAATTTTTTAACACCCGTATCAACTTCCTTTTCCGGAATAATTTCCCCAACGTCTTCTGAGATTGTTTCTTCATCCTTTTCTGAAATCTTCATTCTATTTTTATCTTCGACACTTTTCTTAGTTTCTTTTATCTTTTCTTCAGGCCTTCTAAATTCTTCGTGTTTTGGTTCCCTCTCAATTACATCAATCTCCACATCAGCACCTAAGAAATCTTCCACTTTCTTCAGATCATTAAGCAACTCAGGCAAAGATTTTCCTTCAGGATGTATTTCATCAAGTAGTTCAAATGAGGATTTTTGTGCTTTTTTAAGACGAGAGCCTTTATCTTCCTTTTCTGTTTCTTCTTCGGAAGTTTTTTCTTCAAGATTTACATCTTGAGCAAAGCTGACTTTTTGTTTTTCTTCTTGGGGTTCCGAAGCTTGTTTCATTTCCAAATCCTTTTGAGATGGAAGATCTTTAACGTCCTCCTTCTTTCCTACCTCCTCTTTTTTCTTCGCCATTAACTCATCCTTTTTCTTCTTATTTTCATCTTTCTTCTTTTTCTTCTCTTCATCTTCCTTTAATTTCTTCTCTTCCGCCAGTTTTTTGGCCTTTTCCTCTTCCTCCTTTTTCTTCATTAAGCTTGGTTCTTCCTTTATTTCTTCATTTTTCTTCTCATCCTTCACTTTTATTTTATCTTCTACTGGTTTCTCTTTCTCCATTTCTTTCGATTTTTCTTCTTCAGATTTAGCTTCAATTACCTCTAATTCTTTCGAAGTTGGAGAAATCTTTACAGAAGGATCGCCATACAATGAATTGATTTCCTAAAAACAAAAATTGAAGAGAATAAAAATTTTTTTAAATCTTGCCTTTGGTATAAACAAAGCGCTAGGAATCTTCTTTTTCTTCTTTTCTTCATCCCTTTTTTCTCCTGGAATTTTGGGAGAATCGGGAGCAGTTTCTTCTTGTTGGATTTTTGGTTGTTCTAATAGAAAAAATTTTTTTAAATATTATTCCAAAATTTTTTTTTATCTTATACCTACTTTATTTCAATTAATTTTTTATATTTTTTAAATTTAAAAATTTTTGAATTTTGTGTTAAATTAGCGGATTAAACTAAAATAGGCTAAAAATAGAGAACATAGTAAAACCTCTAAAAACATATGTTTAAAAACAAGTATATAAACATCCAAAAACATATGTTTAAAAACAAGTATATAAACATAATTTTGCCAAACAAAATATAAACAAAACATAAAACAAACATAAAAACAACACACCTTTAACAAAAACTTTTTTGTTTAACAAAGAAACATTGGATAAAACATTAGACAAAACATTCAAAACAACATGTTTTGTAATTATTTCACCAAAAACATTAATTGCTTGAAGAACAATAATATCCCCAACTTGTATGAGTTTTAAACTTTTTTGTAAGAGAGTTACGCCAAGTTTGTTTTGTTGTAATCGTTCAAGTTTAAACTGAAAAACAAGTTTAATAAAAACAAATAAAAACATTCAAAACAAGCAAAACATTCAAAACAAACTTTTCTCCAAGGCTCAATTATTTTACATGTTCCACTTTGTTTCTCTATCCACATTTCTATATGAGGCAAAGGATCTCCTTCAATTACAAAATTTAAACATTCTTTTCCAATTAAATTTAATTTTAAATTTTCTGGTGGTTTTTCAATTATTTTTGGGGTTTTGTTGAAGTTTTGAGAAGGGGAATTTTGTGTTGTTTCAACATCATTTGTTGTAATTTTAATTTGTTTTAATGTTTTGTTGGTGTTTGTTGATGTTTTTGGTGTTGTTTTTGGTGTTGTTTTTTCCTCTTCTTTTTGCAAAACATCTACAAAAATAAAAACAATTTGTTTTTGTTGTAAAACAAACAAAATGTTCTTGTTTGTTTTATATGTTTGCTGTTTTTCAATGTTTGTTGTTTGTCGTAAAACAACAAACATGTAAAACAAACAAAAACATTTTGTTTGTTTCAAAACAAGTTCTACTCCTAAAGATCAACACAACAAAAATATTTACCTAAATTTGAAGTCATTTCTTCGGCTTCCTTCAACTTCAATGTAATTTTTGATTTATCAAATCCTCCTTCATTACTAGCAATAAAAACATAATCTCCAACAAGTTCAATATCAAAGTTGGGGAATATTAACATAATTTCCCAACAATCTCCATTTTTATCAACAAGAAATCGGCACTTGGAAGGGTCATCACCTAGATGCATATCGTTGTGATAAATTGACATCTGAATTTATTTTTTTATTCTCGAAAATAATTTTTAATCAACCTTAGGCTCTACAACTGAGACAAGTTCCAAATGAACAAATAGCCTTTTATTTAATTCTGCTACTATTCCCCTTTCCTTTGTTAAAAATTTGGGAGGAGAAATTAATGAAGGGTCTTCCTCTCTCTCCTCATCAGCTTCTTCCTCCTCCTCGGAAGAGCAATTAAAAGGGGAAAAACAAAATTCTTTTGATTCTTCAATATTAAAACGAACAGACTTCTTTAATGGGCATGCTTCTATTGCTTCAATTCTCCTTTTCATTTTTTTCTCATCAAATTCGAAAATTGTAACGTTCGGGGGTGGAAGCACTTTTAAAGGTTTAGCACAGTCATATTCAAAATGTCTTGATAATAAAAATACTTCGATTGCTTCATCTTCAGTTAGAGACTTTTGGAATGTTTCTGATAAATTTGTAAGTGAGGATGGGCTAAAATTGTTAGTAGATAATTGAGAGGAATTTATTGACTCTTTATCCTCAGTTTCATGGTTGTCTCTGAGTTGGTGTATTATTTGTTTAACTAAAGTGTTGCTATCTGCTAGGTTCTCATGTTGCTTTTCGAATTTTTTAGAATAATTTATTGGTCTATTAATTTCGGATTCTAATTCCGTTGATTGTAAATCTTGAACATCGAATCTTGCTTCAGATTCATTCTTCAAAAGCTTTGCTTCTTGAATATCGAGTTTTGCTTCAGATTCATTATTCCGAAACTTTGCTTCTTGGATATTGAATTTTGCTTCAGCTTCGTTCTTATGAAGTAGTAGAGCTTCGAATTTTTCCTCAGCTTCGTTCTTCTGAAGCAGTACTTCTTCGTCAAGTTTTGCTTCAGCTTTATCCTTTTGAAACTTTGCTTCTTGAACTTCGAGTTTTGCTTCTGATTTAATTAATTCTTCTCTCCTTGCTTCAGAACAAGCAATATTAATTATTTCTAATTTACCTTTCACAGTTGCTTCTTTTTTATTTGTTTCATAGTTTGTTCTAATTGCTTCTTGCTCCTCTATTTTAGTTGCCTTCTTATTCTCAGATACCTCTAACGAACTCTCCGTTCTTATTACATTTTTATTTGAATCATATTCTTCCTTTGTTGAAATCTCCTTCATCTCTTTCTTCTTCAATTGTCTTGCTTCAGAATTTTGATTTACTTCCCTCAATTCAGAATTGTCTTTCAAAAATGTTTCAAAATATGCTTCTTCAGAATGCTTCAGTTCTAAATATATATCTGATTTTTCTGATTCAGAAACATGCTTCAACTCCAAATCCGACTTCATTTCATTTATAAATTTTGCTTCATGTATTTTCTCTATATTCTTTAAATTTGTTTTAATTCCCGTTTTATCATCAGCAACTTGCTTTGTTTCTTCTAAACATATCTGCTTCAACTTTAATGGTTTAACGACTGATTTAGGTGCTTCAAATCTTTTTGTTTCAGTTTCGATTACTTTTCGTTCTCTTGTTTCAGATTTACTTGATTCGAGTATTTCTGCTTCATCTTTAATTTTTGCTTCATATTTATTTTTTGCTTCATCTTTACTTTTTGCTTCATGTTTACTTTTTGCTTCATGTTTACTTTTTGCTTCATCTTTACTTTTTGCTTCATCTTTACTTTTTGCTTCATGTTTACTTTTTGCTTCATGTTTACTTTTTGCTTCATCTTTACTTTTTGCTTCATCTTTATTTTTTGCTTCATCTTTACTTTTTGCTTCATCTTTATTTTTTGCTTCATCTTTACTTTCTGTTTTATCTTTACTTTTTGCTTCATATTTACTTTTTGTTTCGTCCTTACTTCCTGAATTAATTAATTTTGTTGCTTCACCAACATCAACAATTGCTTTATTTTTTGCTTCATCATTATCTTTTTTCTCGAATCTTTTCCATTTTTCTCCACTCTTTAATGATTCAAAAACATTTTCATAAGCATAATTTTTTGCTTCAATATTTTGTAAATAATTTTTAATAAAATCTGTAGATTTTTCTTTCTTTATTAAATTTTTAATTTTTGTTTCCACAAATATAGAAGAAGATTCTTTATTTTCAAAAATTAAATCTTCCGTAATTATTTCATTTTTAATTTTTGTTTTTGGCATTGAATGTCGTCTTAATTTGTTGACAACTTTAATTTAAAAAAATTTTTTTAATTTAGAAAAATTAGGGGTTGCTCATAATTAGAGATATTGGGCCAAGAATTGTTAATTTTGATAAAAATTTTGTTTGAAATTAAAAAAGGTAACGAGATCAAGCTGAAATTTCCGAATAATCGGAGTATTTTTTTAATTTTCCAAAGTTATTCAATTTAATTATTATCAAGACTTTCTTTTTTTTGCTTAAATTTAGGGGTTAAATGAGCAACTTTCTAATTTAATCTTAAAATTAAAAATAATTTAATAAAATTTCGACTTACTACATCAAAAATAACCCTATAAAATGTATAAAATGAACCGTCATTTAATTTTGTTAATATAAAAAAATAAAAAAAAACAGCAAAAACATGTTAATAAAACAAAAAAATTAATTGTGCTTAGTATTAAATATTTAATTTATAAATTAAAATTTTTTTTTACAATTTTTAGTATTTTTAAAATTAATTTCAACAGAATTTTTCTAAATTTTAATTAATATTTCTAAATTTTTTGAAAATATTTTGAATATTTTTTAAAATTATTAACATACCCTCAATAGCATTTTCAACATCAATAATATCTAAAAAATATTTTTTTAATTAATTATAAGAAATTAAAAATGTTCGCGCCTCAAAAATTTTATGCTTCTTACAAAATAATAAGTTATTTTTCTTGTTTTTTTACTTATTTTTTGTTTGCCCATACACTTTAACTTATAGCAGCTTCATATGACTTTAAAAAAATGATAATAGTAGAAGAGTTAAAATAACTACTAAAAGCTAATAGATATATTCAATGTTTACTTAAAGTAAAAAATATATATCTCTCTCTAATGATTGATTTTGTTATGAAAAAAATGTTGTAAAAATAGGAAAAAGGGCCTGGAAAATTTCAAAAAAATTTAAATTAAAAAAATTTTTTTCTGATACTTGACGGGCTAAGCTCAACCCTATTAAAACGTTTAACTTTCAATGTTGATTTTTTGTTTTTATCATTTTTATTGTAAGGATGATTCACCTAGAGCATTTAAAACGCTTAGGCAGGGGATAAATGATCTAAAAAGGATAAAAGAGAAAGCATTAGTCGATGTTTTCCCGTAACTCAGTGGTAGAGCTCCTTATGTGGTGAACGAAAGCGCCTAGCAATAACTAATTTCACCAAGAAATTGAAATTTTTTTTGTCACCTTTCTCTTCCTTTGCAATTTTTTCTTTTTCTTCTGCCACTTTTGCTAAACTAATCCTTTCAGAAATATCCTAAAAAATAATTTTGAAATTTTTCAAAAACAATTTTCGAAAACCTTCAAGTTAGGTGAAATAGGTAAAATAGCTTCAATTTTATCATCTTTCTTCAAATCTTCCAAAACTACATCAACATCCATAAAGTCTTCTTCTGCTAATTGAACTGATGTTTCACTTTCTGCGTACTCGATTTGTTCTAATTCGATTATTCCGTCAGTGCTAGAAGCTTCTTCTCCTGCTTCAATGTCCACGTCAACGTTTAGGTATTGAGTGCCTAAAAAAGGATTTTAAAAATTAAAAGAATTATTTAAGTCGAATTTACACACCAACTTCACTATAAGACTGTCGGACCTCATTATAGAATAAATCCAATACATCATTATAGGGTATAATACAAGATATCCCTCAATTTAAGATAAGATTTTTAAATTTTTTTGGCAACTGGGTTAAGGAAGCATCAATTGGGTTTTGCGATGCTCTCGAATTAAAAAGATAGGGGATCTCGCTACAAGATACAACCAACACTACTATGTATATCCTTCTAGATTTCAACAGAAAAGTTTTCCAACCTCTTGGACTCTTGTCCCGACTAATTTTATTTATATCAAGTTGCGAAGGTGTTTGAACAGTCAATTCTTCCATTTCCTCACCGTCTTCTTTTTGCTTCTTTACTTGCTTCTTTACTTTTCGTTTTCTCTTTTCTGGTGCTTCTTCAACTTTTTCAGGAATCTCTTCAGAAATCTCTTCTGGTTTTGCTTCAGAAAGCTCAACTGAAGCAGAATCAAAGTCAGAATAAACAAATATTAATTCATTGGATTCTTCTTCTGATTCACGAATCAAATGCTCTTCCATTTCGATTTCATTTATTTTCATATCGGAATTGAAACAAACACCGATACCTATGCGTTCAGTCTTCATTTTTTTCTGACGGAAAATTTTTGAGATTTCAGTAAAGTAATCTTGGTCATAATCTTCTTTACATATAAGGCAACTGAGTGGGAATTCAGATTGTTCATGAAGAGGTGAAAGAGACACATCAAGCTCTATGGAATTTCTAATTTTTGATAGTTTCTTCATGGATTTAGCCTTCTTCTTAGCTTCATCTTCCTTCTTTCTCTTCTCTTCATCTTCCTTTAATTTTTTCTCTTCCGCCAGTTTTTTGGCTTTTTCCTTTTCTTCAGCTTCACGTTGTTTCTTTAAGGCTTCTTCCTTCTTTCTCTTCTCATCCTCATCTTTCTTCGAATCATCGAGTTTCTTTGGAGGCTCTTCTTTTACGTCTTTTTTCTTAGCTTCCTCATCCTTCTTCTTAGCCAATAATTCATCTCTCATCTTCTTAGCTTCATCTTCCTTCTTTCTCTTCTCTTCATCTTCCTTTAATTTTTTCTCCTCCGCCAGTTTTTTGGCTTTTTCCTTTTCTTCAGCTTCACGTTGTTTCTTTAAGGCTTCTTCCTTCTTTCTCTTCTCTTCATCTTCCTTTAATTTTTTCTCTTCCGCCAGTTTTTTGGCTTTTTCCTTTTCTTCAGCTTCACGTTGTTTCTTTAAGGCTTCTTCCTTCTTTCTCTTCTCATCCTCATCTTTCTTCGAATCATCGAGTTTCTTTGGAGGCTCTTCTTTTACGTCTTTTTTCTTAGCTTCCTCATCCTTCTTCTTAGCCAATAATTCATCTCTCATCTTCTTAGCTTCATCTTCCTTCTTTCTCTTCTCTTCATCTTCCTTTAATTTTTTCTCTTCCGCCAGTTTTTTGGCTTTTTCCTTTTCTTCAGCTTCACGTTGTTTCTTTAAGGCTTCTTCCTTCTTTCTCTTCTCATCCTCATCTTTCTTCGAATCATCGAGTTTCTTTGGAGGCTCTTCTTTTACGTCTTTTTTCTTAGCTTCCTCATCCTTCTTCTTAGCCAATAATTCATCTCTCATCTTCTTAGCTTCATCTTCCTTCTTTCTCTTCTCTTCATCTTCCTTTAATTTTTTCTCTTCCGCCAGTTTTTTGGCTTTTTCCTTTTCTTCAGCTTCACGTTGTTTCTTTAAGGCTTCTTCCTTCTTTCTCTTCTCATCCTCATCTTTCTTCGAATCATCGAGTTTCTTTGGAGGCTCTTCTTTTACGTCTTTTTTCTTAGCTTCCTCATCCTTCTTCTTAGCCAATAATTCATCTCTCATCTTCTTAGCTTCATCTTCCTTCTTTCTCTTCTCTTCATCTTCCTTTAATTTTTTCTCTTCCGCCAGTTTTTTGGCTTTTTCCTTTTCTTCAGCTTCACGTTGTTTCTTTAAGGCTTCTTCCTTCTTTCTCTTCTCATCCTCATCTTTCTTCGAATCATCGAGTTTCTTTGGAGGCTCTTCTTTTACGTCTTTTTTCTTAGCTTCCTCATCCTTCTTCTTAGCCAATAATTCATCTCTCATCTTCTTAGCTTCATCTTCCTTCTTTCTCTTCTCTTCATCTTCCTTTAATTTTTTCTCTTCCGCCAGTTTTTTGGCTTTTTCCTTTTCTTCAGCTTCACGTTGTTTCTTTAAGGCTTCTTCCTTCTTTCTCTTCTCATCCTCATCTTTCTTCGAATCATCGAGTTTCTTTGGAGGCTCTTCTTTTACGTCTTTTTTCTTAGCTTCCTCATCCTTCTTCTTAGCCAATAATTCATCTCTCATCTTCTTAGCTTCATCTTCCTTCTTTCTCTTCTCTTCATCTTCCTTTAATTTTTTCTCTTCCGCCAGTTTTTTGGCTTTTTCCTTTTCTTCAGCTTCACGTTGTTTCTTTAAGGCTTCTTCCTTCTTTCTCTTCTCATCCTCATCTTTCTTCGAATCATCGAGTTTCTTTGGAGGCTCTTCTTTTACGTCTTTTTTCTTAGCTTCCTCATCCTTCTTCTTAGCCAATAATTCATCTCTCATCTTCTTAGCTTCATCTTCCTTCTTTCTCTTCTCTTCATCTT